TGACATTCGGTTTTCCGCGGTGGTGTGAATCTGAGACACCCGCTGGCAAACAAACATAGTTGCAGCATGGAAAACCACTATTTTCAATAGGTAAATCAACTATTGTATGTTATGTGTATGTTATGGTATCTTGAATATTTTGAATATGGTATGTTATGGTATCTTTATAGCAAGATATGATTGTTGAACATGGTAAACCACCTAACATAGCAGGAAAAACATTCATAAATCATTAAACTGGTTGGTGGTTGACCTACCCCTCTGAAAAATATGAAAGCCAGTTGGGGTTATTATTCCCAATATTGGAAAAATAAAACATGTTCCAAACCACCAACCAGCATGGAATATCATGGGATGGGATATATCACCAACAATATTGATACCCCCTGGTAATTCAACAGTTTGCTATTGAAAATGGTTTTTCATAGTTGATTTACCCATTGAACATGGTGATTTTCCATATTTAGAGGGTACACATACCCAAATAACTATATAGTTTATTAATGGGATTTATAAACCAATCTATAATTGGGGGGCCAAAAACATTGTAGATACGACTGCGATGGTGCCCAATTTTGACCTATAGCCATTTGTTTACTGACCAGCCCTAAAAACTGTCCATGTTCTTAGCTAATAAGTTTTTTCCTACAAAAACATACCCATATATATATACATATATAGAGAGATATCAAAAGATAAAGTATCAGACAACAACTAACCAAGGTTTACTCAGATGGCAAAGAACCCACCTCATTGGTTGTGCATCATTGGTTGAATCTACATCCTGCATCATCCGCATCATCCCAGAAACTCTTCAACAACCCTAATACCCTCTGGTAAACATTTACATAACTATGGAAAATCACCATTTTCAATGGGTAATTCCACTATTTCTATGGGCCATTCTCAATAGCAAACTGTTCAATTACCAGAGGGTAAATTCTTTGACGTTATGATCATCCCGTTTAGGTATGTGTGTTATTCAACCCGATTATAACCTGATAATAACCTGTCGTGCCTGCAAGATCCTGCCTGCAAGTGCTGAACTAAGTGAACTAAGTGGATATCTTTCACCATAGGACCATAGGGGTTACCCCCCAACTTCCGGGGCAAAAATACCATGGTTATATTAGTGGGATTTGCTTAAGGGGTGCCCAAACAACCACAAATCATTAGATATTCCCTATACCCTCTGGTAATTTAACATAGCTATTGAAAATGGCCATTTATAGTGAGTTTTCCCATAAAAAAAATGGTGACTTTCCATAGTTATGTTAGTTTACCAGAGGGTAGATTCCCCAGTCGTAGTGGATTTACCCCATGGGAAAATGGCGGCCAAAAAAAAAAACGACAAACCGCTTAAATCCGAACAGGACCAAGTCCACCCCCAAGTCATATCAATGGCCTTTTAGGTACCGAAAAAAAAGAGGTACCCTCTGGTTATGACTAACAGTTTGCCATGGAAAATCACCATTTTTAATAGGTAAACCATCTATTTCTATGGGCCATCTATACCATGGCTATGTTAAATAACCAGATGGTACCTATCACATATATGTTTGGCCCATTTTTTTAGTACCATGTAAGGGCTAAAATAAATCAGGGGATATTCCCATAGCCTATATACCCTCTGGTAAACGTTTACATAACTATGGAAAGTTCCACCATTTTCAATCGGAAAATCCACTATTTCTATGGTCATTCTCAATAGCTATGTAACAAATTACCCGAGGGTATATATCCCATAATATATCCATTGTCATATTCAAATCCCCAGAAAAGTTCCCATCAATCACCCAGATAAGCTTTTATAGTTTACAGTATCTCTGTCCTGAAATTCATTGAAAATCGCGGCATTCGTCATCTCACCGCTGGGTCCCATGGTCCCATCCCAACTGGGGGTACCCCAGTTGCGAGCTTAGGATGGATGGTATAACTACTATGGATTACTATGGTAATGTCATGGAAATATCATGGGAATATCATCTGGTTGGTGGTATACCTACCCCTCTGCAAAATGATGGAGTTCGTCAATGGGAAGGATGACATCCCATATATGAAATGGAAAATAAAAAATGTTTGAAACCACCAACCAGTCATGGATTGGGTTTTTTTGTCACCAACAATTTTCCATACATCCAATGGCTGCTATGGAGATACCCTGTCCATTGCTGGATGGATAAAAATGACAAATCCTACTGTGGTTGGTTGCGAAATCCGAATCACCAGTTGGTAGATGGTAAACATCCCATTATTTATAAGGTTTCAACCATCCGTTTGGTGGTGCAGGATTTCGCAACCATCCACTGTATCAATGGATGATTCGGCACCACATCACCTGTCATGCTAGGCAGCCGGACGTCATGGATGCCATAAGCGCAGATGCCGCGGCCATGGGACGGAGTTTTGCAGAGGAAAAAAAGTTGACTACAGCTGTTCAATGGGAGATCTTCAGGATCCTAAAATGGAACTACGTACTGTACCATATTTCTGGCCATTTTTTGTGGGGATATTCCCTGAAATTTAGGCCTGAAAAATAGGTAGGTACCTCCAATGAATCGGTTCCTGAAATGGCCATTGATCTAATGTAAAGCCCACAATAAACCACAGCTGTTCAAGCTTCATGAAGAAACCCAAATGGCAATGTGGTTTGTTTGGATCGTCTTTGTTTCGCGTAGCCTCTGTTTTATTGTAGCTATGTACAGTGAGGTTTCCCGGAGGGCTATGACCCAGGCATGTAGATCCATACTAATACCTCAGCCATAGCAATCAAATGATCATCTTCAAACAGGACCTGTTTTTCCACATCTCTGGATATGGCTCTAGTTGCTCCTAAGATTTAAGGGGTTCATCAAACAAAATCAGAATACATGGCCAATCAACTAGATACCCTGCAAAACAAAATCCTAGCTGGTTACTAAGTAGATAATCCGATACCAAAAGACTAGTTAGGATTAGTTTCTACCCATCCAGTCGATTGAGCTAGAATAGGTGTGTTTTCGTGTGTTTTCGTACCTGGCTTGTTGACTAGACATCTTCAAGGGATGGCCTCTCAGCCAGCGACAGGAGCAGCCGGTTGCGGCATCAGTAGGTGAGCCAGGGCCAGACTTGCTCTGCTGATCAGGATCACAAATTAGATGTCAACTGTCAACTAACAGTTTTGGGGATGATTCTTGTTTGCACAATTGGATAGCAGCCGGGAAAGGACGGTGGTACATATTTTGTTTTATCTTCTGACTCCGTTTCGCAGTACGATATTCAATCAACAACCATCAAGGTAGCTATTGGCCCCTAAGTTTGTGAAGTCAAAAGGGGATGCCCAGGCAGTTTGTGAAGCCAAGGCAGCCAAGGCATCCAATGACTGCCCCAAATTAAAGTGAACACCCAGTAGCCATAGCCATAACCAGATAGGTTCCACCCTGAAAACAACTGGATTCCAAGATGTACCCTCTGGTAAACAAACAGTTTGCTATTGAAAATGGCCATTTATAGTTGATTTACCCACCAAAAATTGTGATTTTCCATAGTTATGTTAGTTTACCAGAGGGTACCTGGTTGCTCCTGCCTCCCTAAATTTCTTGAAATGCTGTCACTTCAGCACCCTGAGAATTGGATGTAAAGCCACAAACTAGTGCTGTGGGTGAATGATGGAAAGTGGGTCGTTTGTAAATATCACATACCCCCCCCAAATATGGGCGAATGGTGGGTGCTAAGATATTCCAAGTGTTCCAACATCATCTAGACACTCTAGCCGGTGTAAGATAAGAAGTACCAAGAAAGGATCTTGATGACCAACTGATATATATAATACCCCAGTGTAAATTCGAAAGTGGTGAATTCCGAGTGTTATCCACCTAGATATAATTCCAAGTGATGCTCCACTTCTTTACTGACCAACTGCTGTCATTCCAAGGCCCCAAATTTTACCTGGCTGACCTGGCTGACCTGTTTTCGCATCCCGTCAGCCGGTCGACCGGGTCGGAGATAGAAGCTTTGACTTGTCCATGATCATGGGTCATGTTAGGTACACAGAATTCCCATCTTAAGCTACCCTCTGGCAATTTTACTAACAGTTTGCTATTGAAAATGGCCATAGAAATAGTGAAATTTCCGATTGAAAATGGTGTTTGTCCATAATTATGTTAGTTTAACAGAGGGTATGCCATTATAAACCATTGTGAACCATTATGAACCATTATGTATTAACCATTATTAACCATAGTTATGCCATGGTGTGTTAGTTTACCCACTAAAAATGGTGATTTTCCATAGTTATGTAAACGTTTACCAGAGGCTAATCCTCCATACCCAAACCTGTCACCAGTCCTTTTCCAAGTGAGGACGCAGGTTTAGTTCTCTCATTGCCTCAGGCGAGGCATGAAAGACATGAAGGATTCCGAAGGATCACAGTGGATCACAGATGTGGATGATGTGCACCTGTATATAGAGAGTACATCAGATCGATGTATTACATTACCCTCTGGTAATTTAACATAGCTATTGAAAATGGCCCATTTATAGTGGATTTACCCATTGAAAATGGTGATTTTCCATAGCTATGCTAGTTTACCAGAGGGTATATACTTAAGTAGGGCCTTAAGTATCTATTGGTTTATCTTCAAGTAGACATTATCCCCAAGTTCGATTTGTGGGATGCCTTTGCTACGGTCCTATCAAACTCCCCCATGAGAATGTGTAACATATATATACAATTATATACATATATATATATGTATATATTGTACACATAATTTCTATATATATAGATATACATCTCCAGTAATCAAATGTGGCGTGCTGAAAAATCCCCCATTTCTAGACCATTTTCCCAGTGACACCGAAACATCATAGGTGCATCACTTGGGATGAAAACCCCACCAGTTGTAAGTTGGTTTATAACCCAGTGGAAAATGTCCCATAGAAATAGATGATTTTCCCAGCGACCTAAACCTCCATTTATGGTTGGCTTTCCCCATGGCTATGTAACAAATAACCAGATGGTAAATATGACTATAAGTATCATACACTATTGGTATTATAGTTATGAACCAACTTAGCTAACTATGGGGCCCCATCCTGTAGTTATATGGCGTCAAAACCCTGGCCGCCGGATGGTACCCTAAGTCATGGCTGGTATAGCTGGATGGTTCTTCCCCCAGTCATATGGTAGATTCATACGGGGTGGTGCCCCCCAGTTACAAGTTTTTTTTTGTTTTGTATTTTTTAAATATAAACTATAATAAACCCCATTAAATATAGCTACCATAAACCCAATCGAATTCAGCCACTTTTCTTTTCGGCAACGGTTCATGCTATCGAACGGGGGCCCCCATCCTGTAGGATCTGACCCACCTTTTTTTGTGGCCAATTTTTCCCCAGGTTTCATGGCTCCCCATTTCCCCATATTGGTGAACTCTCCAACGATCGGTGCTGCCCCGTGAACTAAGCTGGTGAATGAAAAAAACCATTGACTACTTGGTGGCTCATCCCACGAAACGTAAGTAGGTTAATCCACTTATAACTGGAGTTATAACCTACTTACTAAGTGGGATGAGCCACCAAGTAGAGATATATAGGATCTACCGCTCTTGTTGACCTATTCTGTCGCACGTTCGTCTTTTTGGCTTCGGGAAGCATCGAACTTTGAGCCTGGAGCTGGAACCGTCACGTGCATTTTCAGTGGGCAAAAACGCCCGGAACGGGGATGGAGGAAGTTGGTATAGGATGGTATAGGCACATCACGAGATGCGCCCCCAACCACGACCCCAACATCTGCTTGAGCCGCTGCTGATCTGCTCAGGATGAACTGCTGGGTCAGCATCCAAAACTGCTCACATAGCTTAACATTCAAAGAGAAAATTCAAATTAGATTCAATAGATCTAGATTTGGTATATAGACTTAGATGTAGTCTTTCCAACACAAAGCGGCTTCTATGATTCTCCAAGAAATGCTCTGACTAGACCCTTGCAGAGAAGTTTTCTATGATTATTCTCCTCGCAGCAGTAATCATCCGGCAAGCTGCCCTCCGTCTGTGGGATCTTGCGCATGGAAATCTAGGAAGAACATGTCTGATTCAGTTTGGATATTCATGTCAAACTATATTTGTTAAACAAAATATACATTGCATTGCATTGCATTACCTCATTCCTGCACTGTTTGACGTGTACGTTTACATTTGCGTTTGCCAGCTACATTACATTTACAATACATTTATTTATTTGGTTAAAATTGTTTGCTATTCACGCATGCCATAATTATGAAAACGTCTGAAAAAGTATACGGTGTAAAACGCATATGCGTTTCACATCTAGGAGCTATACACATATTTAATGGGTATCCCCTTCTTTCAGGCACAAGATGCGGTCTGGTCGCGACTTTGCTGCCATCGGATGCGATCAGACGGATAGATTCGGGCAGGGTTGAAACTCGCTCTTGACCTATTCTGTCGCACGTTCGTCTTTTTGGCTTCGGGAAGCATCGAACTTTGAGCCTGGAGCTGGAACCGTCACGTGCATTTTCAGTGGGCAAAAACGCCCGGAACGGGGATGGAGGAAGTTGGTATAGGATGGTATAGGCACATCACGAGATGCGCCCCCAACCACGACCCCAACATCTGCTTGAGCCACTGCTGATCTGCTCAGGATGAACTGCTGGGTCAGCATCCAAAACTGCTCACATAGCTTAACATTCAAAGAGAAAATTCAAATTAGATTCAATAGATCTAGATTTGGTATATAGACTTAGATGTAGTCTTTCCAACACAAAGCGGCTTCTATGATTCTCCTAGAAATGCTCTGACTAGACCCTTGCAGAGAAGTTTCTATGATTATTCTCCTCGCAGCAGTATTCATCCGGCAAGCTGCCCTCCGTCTGTGGGATCTTGCGCATGGAAATCTAGGAAGAACATGTCTGATTCAGTTTGGATATTCATGTCAAACTATATTTGTTAAACAAAATATACATTGCATTGCATTGCATTACCTCATTCCTGCACTGTTTGACGTGTACGTTTACATTTGCGTTTGCCAGCTACATTACATTTACAATACATTTATTTATTTGGTTAAAATTGTTTGCTATTCACGCATGCCATAATTATGAAAACGTCTGAAAAAGTATACGGTGTAAAACGCATATGCGTTTCACATCTAGGAACTATACAAATATTAAATGAGTATCCCCTTCTTTCAGGCACAAGATGCGGTCTGGTCGCGACTTTGCTGCCATCGGCTGCGATCAGACGGATAGATTCGGGCAGGGTTGAAACTCGCTCTTGACCTATTCTGTCGCACATGCGTCTTTTTGGCTTCTGAGCCACTGCTGGTCTGCTCAGGATGAACTGCTGGGTCAGCATCCAAAACTGCTCACATAGCTTAACATTCAAAGAGAAAATTCAAATTAGATTCAATACATCTAGATTTGGTATATAGACTTAGATGTAGTCTTTCCAACACAAAGCGGCTTCTATGATTCTCCTAGAAATGCTTTGACTAGACCCTTGCAGAGAAGCTTCTATGATTATTCTCCTCGCAGCAGTAATCATCCGGCAAGCCGCCCTCCGTCTGTGGGATCTTGCGCATGGAAATCTAGGAAGAACATGTCTGATTCAGTTTGGATATTCATGTCCAACTATATTTGTTAAACAAAATATACATTGCATTGCATTGCAGTACCTCATTCCTGCACTGTTTGACGTGTACGTTTACATTTGCGTTTGCCAGTTACATTACATTTACAATATTTGTTTTTATCTTTTTAAAATTGTGTGCTATTCACGCATGCCATAATTATGAAAACGTCTGAAAAAGTATACGGTGTAAAACGCATATGCGTTTCACATCTAGGAGCTATACAAATATTAAATGAGTATCCCCTTCTTTCAGGCACAAGATGCGCTCGGGTCGCGACTTTGCTGCCATCGGCTGCGATCAGACGGTCTGATTCGGGCAGGAACTCGTTATGGTCTCTTGCATTCTGTGGCTCCATAAATGGGGGACTCCAAAATGGATGGTTTAAAGGGAACATCTTCCTAAAATGGATGATATAGGATGATTTAGGGGTACCCCATTTTAGGAAACCTTCACGCGAAACTTGGAGTCTTGGGGTATTAGACTTGGAGTATTAGAGCCAAACATGTGAATGAGGATCGGAATCAAACGCTGACCTGACTGAGCTGACAGTACGGTACGTTGATGATGTCGATGTCGATGCGCCCGATGTGGCCAATGCGCTCGATGTGACCGATGTGGATGAACCTCTCCTGTCAGATGCCTTCGGACCACGCTTTTGGCATAGGAGTTTTGGCGCGCTTCCTGCTGAAGCTCTTGGTGCACTTCGTAGAGACTCTACGCGGCAAAATGTTGGTTCAGCCGATTCTTGATGCGAAACCGTGCTTGGCCACGCCGCTGTTTCACCTCAGGCACGGCAACCTGATCTGCATGGATTGAATGTGAATATTCACATTCCTCTCCCTTGGCACAACCAGCTGTGTATGAATAGAAGAGGCAGGGATCAAGATAAAGGTCAGCTGGAGCTTCCCTTGAAGGTCTGGAATGATGCACAGCTGTCTCAGCAGTCTCCATGGCTGAAGATGGAGCTGACTCAACCACTGAATCCTCAAAAGCCACAGCCTTTATCTCCTCGTCTCCAGATTGCCCTGACCCTGACTGGCCCGTTTCTTTGTTGGAGTCCCCGGAGGCATCCCGAAGACACTCATTCACATGTAGAACCCATCCTCTGAGATCACCAAGGTCGAGTGTTTCAATGGCAAAAAGTAAACACAACTCTATGCAGCCATGCCTATGAAAAGAAAACAACAATCTTTATGTTGGGGTGGAGATCGCAAGAAATTCAAATGTGATGGTGATGGTGATGGTGATGATGATGATGATGAAGATGATGATGATGATGTTGATCATGATCATGATCATGATGGTGGTGGTGGTGATGATGATGATGATGATGCTGGTGGTGATGATGATGATGGTGGTGGTGGTGGTGGTAATGAGCGGGCAAGCAATTTGTTTTTGCGAGCCAACCAACCCTCAAGTGAAGCGTTCTCGCATCAAAATCCGACCACCCCCAACCTCTGTCAGAAACAAATCTCAAGGATTCTCAGGGTTTCAAAAACTGAAAGACGAAGACAAGAGAGCATAGAACACCTCACTCTGCTCCTGTCAAGGTTGAACTGCTCGACCCTGACGATGATTGGGTGGACCGTTCTGTAGGGCTTGTTCCGGACATGAAACTACCGCTCACCTGACACGCCTGTGGCAAGGCTTTTACCACTGGCCCGAGTAAACATAGATAAACACAAATAAAATAGAATAACCACAATAAACATTCCTCTGGAAGCATGTTCTCTAACTCCCCTCACGCCCAAAGAACGAACTCCCTTTTTGCAAATCTGTCCAACCTTTTCTGTTCCCTCGGGGCTGCCCTTTCGACCAAAAGCGTGCTAAAAGCAGCCACGGCACATGTTTTGCGAAATGAAACGCTAAATTCACTAAATCACTACCATCCACTGAACCACAAAGTTTACGGGAGACACAACCTGCAAGATGTCCCATGCAAAGCTGATTCTGATACTTTGCAAAGCTACCATTAGTCAGTCATCACTCCGGTCATGTCACAACTCAAGTTATTGGAGCTCCTCCTTGAGGGGGAAGTCCACCACTAAAGTCAGTTGATGTCAATTGTCTGCCACTTCAAGGATACACATCGGGAGCTCAGCTTCAGTGCAAATCAACTGGAAATCACAACGTCCAACTGAACTGTCATCTGAACGAATTCGAAATTCTTTGCTGTCAAAATCTGGCTAAAAATGCTGTGTTTTAGTGTTTCTTTTCACACTTTTGCAGTTGCTCAAAAAGCATCCGTTTTGGATGCTACGGTATCATCTGCCGGTGGACCTGGTGGACCGACTTATGGCAAGCGCATGGCTAAGCCCAAGTACTTTTAAGAAGAAATTGGACATCAAGTTGCCTCTTAGATAACTTAACCATAAACCCATGAAATTGGAGTTATGTTCACCAACTGAACGCTATCATCAATCCCATTTCACCATATTAAACCCCCCCTGTTTCCTTGCTAAATCACCATTTTCCTATGGTTTCTATCGTATCTAGGGGGGCACCACCAGTACCTAATTCGGCAGTTCGCGTGCCAAGTCACAGGGCACAGATTTTGGGCTTGTGGAAATGGATGTGCTCGTGCCAGCCATCCGTCAAGGCCTGCGGCTCCGCGTCTGACATTCGATTTTCCGCGGTGGTGTGAATCTGAGATACCCGCTGGCAAACTAACATAGTTACAGTATGGAAAACCACTATTTTCAATAGGTAAATCAACTATTGTATGTTATGGTATGTTATGGTATCTTGAATATTTTGAATATGGTATGTTATGGTGTCTTTATAGCAAGATATGATTGTTGAACATGGTAAACCACCTAACATTGCAGGAAAAACATTCATAAATCATTAAACTGGTTGGTGGTTGACCTACCCCTCTGAAAAATATGAAAGACAGTTGGGGTTATTATTCCCAATATATGGAAAAATAAAAAATGTTCCAAACCACCAACCAGCATGGAATATCATGGAATGGGATATATCACCAACAATATTGATGCCCTCTGGTGGTTCGACAGTTTGCTATTGAAAATGGTTATTCATAGTTGATTTACCCATTGAACATGGTGATTTTCCATAGTTAGAGGGTACACTGCGATTTATAAACCCATTTATGATACCCAAATAACTATATAGTTAATGGGGTTTATAAACCAATCTATAATTGGGGGGCCAAAAACATTGTAGATACGCCTGCGATGGTGCCCAATTTTGACCTATAGCCATTTGTTTACTGACCAGCCCTAGAAACTGTCCATGTTCTTAGCTAATAAGTTTTTTCCCTACAAAAACATACCCATATATATATACATATAGAGAGATCAAAAGATAAAGTATCAGACAACAACTACCCTCTGGTAATTTAACATAGCTATTGAAAATGGCCATTTATAGTGGATTTTCCCATAAAGAATGGTGATTTTCCATAGTTATGTTAGTTTACCAGAGGGTAACCAAGGTTTACTCAGATGGCAAAGAACCCACCTCATTGGTTGTGCATCATTGGTTGAATCTACATCCTGCATCCGCATCATCCCAGAAACTCTTCAACAACCCTAATACCCGGCCTGGTAAACATTTACATAACTATGGAAAGATCCACCATTTTCTAGCTGGGTAATTCCACGTTTTTTCTATGGGCCATTTTCCAGTTCGCAAACTGTTCAATTACCAGAGGGTAAATTCTTTGACGCTATGATCATCCCGTTTAGGTATGTGTGTTATTCAACCCGATTATAACCTGATAATAACCTGTCGTGCCCCAGTACCTGATGCACGGCCCAGTTCTTTTCACGCGCCATTCGAAGTTAGCCTCTGGTAAACTAACAGTTTGCTATTGAAAATGGCCATAGAAATAGTTGATTTACCCATTGAAAATGGTGATTTTCTATAGTTGTTTGTTAACGTTTACCAGAGGGTAGCATCAGCTTCTGTGATGCGATTCTGGAAGGGCTGCTGTACCTCACAAATCCAAGGTGCCGTACCTGTCAATTTCAAGGTTTTACAATCGAGAAACAACAAAAGGACAGTATGCAATAACCCCAAAAGGATTGAAATGGACAATTCCCGTTTTCTTGGCGGTATCTGCAAAACAAGTCTAGTCGTTGGTGTTCATAAGTTGTTTTTGGCTGGATTTAATATATATATATATATACGTATATATATATATCATTTTAAAACAATTGTTGTATGGTCGAAAAAACAAATAAACAATTGCATAAATATATCATTGAAATAGTATAGCATATAAATGATATAGCATAATATGATATAGCATATACATATTGTTGCTTATGTACTAATAGCATATATATAAATCCTGCGGGTCGCGGTGCAACTCTTTCACACGCAAGCTGACCCGCAGCAACTTGATGACCGTCTCAAAATGGAGAGTCCCAGTTGACACGTGATCAGTGTGAAATAAATCCCACTATCATTCATAGTTTATAGTGGTTTATAGGGATATAACTATGGTATAAACCATATATGGTTGATAATATATATATATATGGTTTATACTGGTTGGTTAAGAAAGGGATTCCCCGTTCTTGGACTATTACAATCCCCAATATATTGGCTAGTATAATCCCCCAACTAATCATCAACCAACCAGGGTTTGTTTCACACTGCTCAAGTGGCACGCATGATGATCACAAAGGCCCCTACTTGGTGGCTCATCCCACTTAGTAAGTAGGTTATAATCCCAGTTATAAGTGGATTAACCCTACTTATCCCATTTAATAACTGGGGTTATAACCTACTTACTAAGTGGGATGAACCACCAAGTAAACACTGCCTTTAACATGTCATAACCCTCCTTACCTCTGTATCTGTAGGATGATCCTCGCTTTTTCCATTCCAAAACAGGGGTTGGTCCTGATGGAACAGCACCCAACTACAAAAGAGGGATATAATCTCCAGATCCTCAAAATCCACCAAAAAATGAAAAGATATTTAATCAATACCATGAACCATTACCAATCATTCTCGACATTTAATGACTAATCGGATATTTCATGGACATTCACTGGCAAAGAAGCAATCTTTTAGAACATCATCATGACCTTGTGGTGAGCCCTACTAAGCCCTACAAGGTCGTGCCCCAGTTCGTTAGCTAAGTGGGTGAACACAACTCAAATTCCACGTTTAGATTTATGGTAGATATATTTGTATATCATTATATATCTATAGTTCGTTACTATGGTTTATAAACCAAAGAGGATTTTTTTTACTTGACCCACAAATTAGGGGCACCAGTGCATCACTTTCTTTTTGTCGCGTGTAATGTCTCAGCTGGCAATGGAAAGTCTCCCCATTTATATAGATGATTTGTGGATATTTACCAGTAGTACCGCACAAGGCGGTGGCGGAAGTTTCAAAAATAGGAAACCTATAGGAGAGGTTGGTTGTTGTGAATCAAGGATGGCAGAGCGAAGCCACTGATGGATTGAAAGGTGCTTGATCTCTCTCACTCTTTCTCTCTCTCTTTCTCTGCCTATCTACCTACCTACCTATCTATTTTCTATGTATCTATCCAGCGATCGATCTATCTATATCTCTCTCTCTCTCTTTCATCTGTCTATCTGTCTAGCTGTCTACCTGTCTATCTATCTATCTATCTATCTGTTTGTCTGTCTGTCTATCTGTCTACCTGTCTATCTATGGTGCAGTGTCATCCAGTCTAATGTAGTGTAGTGTACTGTAGTGTAGTGTAGTGGAGTGTAGCGGAATGTAGTGTAGTGCAGTGTAATGTAGTGTAGTGTAGTGTAATTTAGCGTAGTGTAAATTAGTGTAGTGGAGTGTAGTGGAGCGCAGTTGTAGTTGTAGTTGTAGGGTAGTTGAGTGTAGTGTAATTAGTGTAATGTAGTGAAGTGTAGTGGAAGGTAGTGTAGTGTAGTAGGGTAGTGTAATGTAGTGTAGTGGAGTGTAGTGTAGTGTCATGAACTGTAGTGTAGAAAAGACACACACGCTGGCCTTCTACGAATTCTTCGGCGTGCAATGAATGACGGCTGCTGATACGCCATCGTGCGGTCAGAAAAGACACACACGCTGGCCTGCAACGACTGCCGCGTGCTAATGTGCCATCGTGCGGCCAGAAAAAACACACACGCTGGCCCGCAACGAATTCCAAGTGCTGATGTGCCATCATGCGGTCACAAAAGACATGTCTATCTGTCTATCTATCGATCAAATTCTCTCTCTCTCTCTCTCTAAATATATATATATATATACATCTATCTCTCTCTCTCTCTCTATCTGTCTATCTGTCTATCTGTCTATCTATCTGTCTATGTCTCTACCCATCTATTTCTCTATTTGTCTTGGTATTTAACTATCTGTCTTTGTGTCTATGTATCTATCTGTCTATCTCGCCTTCTATTTCTCTAGCTATCTCTCTGACTATTTATCTATCTGTCTGTCTGTCCATCTATCTATTTCTCTATCTGTCTGTCTGTCCATCTATCTATGTATCTATCTATCTGTCTATCTATCTATCTATCTATCTATCTATCTGATTATCTCTCTATTTATCTATATAACATCCGAACCTCCAAAAGTGGCGCGAACATGTGGTGTCTTGTACATTTTGACTTGGAAATGTGCTTCGCGCCACAGCGGCGCGCACTTTTTCAACATCCGAACCTCCAAAAGTGGCGCGAACATTTGGTGCTTTGTACATTTTGACTTGGAAGTGTGCTTCGCGCCACAACGGCGTACACTTTTTCAACAACCGAACCTCCAAAAGTGGCGCGAACATGTGGTGGTTTGTACATTTTGACTTGGAAATGTGCTTCGCGCCACAACGGCGTGCACTTTTTCGACATCTCAACTTCCAAAAGTGGTCCGGACCTGGTGTGTTTTGCACATGTTGACTTCAAAATGTGCTTCGCGCCACTTCGAAATGTGCTTCGCGCCACAACGGCGTGCACTTTTTCGACATCGCAACTTCCAAAAGTGGTCCGACCATGGTGTGTTTTGTACATTTTGACTTCGAAATGTGCTTCGCGCCACAACGGTGTGCAACTTTTCATCTCTCATCTGGCCAGCTGGCTCCGCACCCGCCGCTTTAGCGAGCCTACTTTTCGACCCTCAGGAGCCCCAAATCATTGGAAAAAACACAGTGTTTCGCGACTTTCCTACCTTTTCCCGCATCTCCATCTTCTTTCTTCTTACTCTTTCTCTTCTACTCTTCTTTCTTCTAGTCTTTCTCTTCTCTCTGCCTCTTCCCTGCTCTGCTTTTCATCTGTCCATATTGTCGGAAGTTTGACTTCTAAACTTCCTTCGATAAATGAATTCAATAACTTTCCCATTGTTCAATTGGAACTGGTCTCATCCGTAGCCCCAACCTATCCAAAAAATACTAGCCAACGGGTATATCATCACAAATATAATGGAAAACAAATCAAAATAAAGAATCTTTGAAACCATCAGTCACTGCATCATTTGCCAGTTATCTTTAACAATCTAAGCTAGCCACGGGAAAATCCTTTGTCTATACATGATTTCAATGGTGTTCCTGCATCTTTTGCATTGAAAACACCAACCAAAAAAACACCATCATTTATCAACTATATACGCAAATGTTTTTTAATTAATGCCCACCACAACAAAAACAAAAACAAACTCCTATAAAACCATCTAAAAGCCATTTATGTAGATGATTTACCCATAAGTTTTCCAGGGTTTTTCCATGCAAAAGTCCTGGAAATGGCTCCAAGCTACATGCGTGTACTCCGTGGAACCCTGGGAGCAGCCCGTGAAGGGATGGTAGTAGGCCAGGACCAGGGGTTCGTCATTTCAGCTGCGGCCTGGTTGGTTGATTTCCATGGGAAAATCCCGAAAATCCCAAAATAAAATGGATGACATGACTGGGGGTACCCCTATGACTTAGGAAAGCCCCATATTACCAGAAATAATATGAAATAATGAGAATGATCATAATGGTACTATATGGTACTAATAGATGTGGACTCAGTCGTCTAATTCTTATCGTCGAATGGCTTTACATAGGTTCCAGGAACAGACCCCTGCTACAGTGTTGAGACAAGGAAAATCCTTGAGTCGATCTGGTTGTGACAGCTGACAACAGCGTTGAAGCTGATGAATAAACCATCCCCCAAATTACAATAAATACCCTCTGGCTATGACATTCACAGTTTGCCATGGTATAGATGGCCCATAGAAATAGAGGTTTACCGAACTTAATAGCATGGTGATTTTCCATGGCGAACTGTTAGTCATAACCAGATGGTAGGTGGTATAAACCTATGGCATTGTTTTACCCACAGTACTGCCAAACCTAGCCCCGGTGCGAGCCTCGAACTGACCAAAGTGATGTTCCCTCTCGGAACCGTGAACCCCGTGAACCATGGCCAGCATGGTCTGGGATTTCCGCCTTGGCTGCACAAATGTTGGACGGAGGTCATCTGGGTTAAACATAAAAAAAAATGTGGGTATAAAACCGCACAATATTTTGTGAAAAATGATGAAATATATTGAAATACCATGGAATATGTAATCAAGAATATAATTTGGGTGAGTCCTAACATCGGGGGAATTGCCGAAATGGTTGTGAGATAGGGAAAATGATGATAAACCATTGGATTTGTTGGGACAAACTCACCATGTGGTTTTGACCGAAAAAGATCCAACAGTTGATACACCCAAATGGCAGGCTCACTGGCGACTTAGTGTTCCCTCAGCACTTCTCCGTTTTCAAGCGATGCAGACCCAACTCAATTCATTAAGTGTATATATATATGCATGTTTCATTAAATACATATATGTCATAATATATATATATATATGTATATATGTATGTATGTATGTATGTATGTATGTATGGATGCATGCATGCATGCATGCATGCATGCATGCATGTATATATGTATGTATGTATGTATGTATGTATGCATGCATGCATGCATGCATGCATGTATGCATGTATGCATGTATGCATGTATGCATGTATGCATGTATGCATGTATGCATGTATGCATGTATGCATGTATGCAAGTATGCATGTATGCATGTATGCATGTATGCATGTATGCATGTTTGCATGTATGTATGTATGTATGTCATGATATATATATATATATGCAGTCATATATATATATCATTATATTTACATGTCATTATATGTCTATATATATATACGTCATTGTATATATGTATGTGTGTGTGTCGTGTGTCGTTTATATGGCATTATATATATATCATTATACATATATGATTATATATATCATTATATATATATCATTAAATTATATATATGTATGTATGTATCATTATAAAATAATATATATATACATATTTGTATCATTACATAACTACATATGATTCTGTATTGATGTATATCAATACATATAAATATATCATTGTTCACAGTCTATCCGATTTTCGGGGGTTTGCGTCTGCCTATCCAACAATTTGGTTTACCACATCATCAATAATAGTGTGCTTTTTAATGTGATAGATAATGTATAAATCCACCAACCTATACAAATACTCCCATCCCCCTAATAGTTATCACTCCCTGCATGGTCCGAAAATATGCCAAATGTGTGTGTGTGTGTGTAACTCTCCTCAACAAGGTGGGGAAACATCGTTTACGAAAGCTAAGTTGACACAAATAGCTTGGTTAACTATGCTTTATGGTGATTACAACTATAGTAACTGTGGGGGGTTCCAAAAATGGGGGATCCTCAAAACATCCAAAACCATGGATTTCAATACAAAAAATGGTTTAATGACTTGGATGATTTGGGGGTAACCCCATTTTAGGAAACCTCCATATAGATGAATTTAAAAACCTACTTATAACTAAGGGTCCCACCTTTGGGGTCCCCTCCCAAAAGTGGCCTGTGATCACCTCAGGGCCTGACATAAAGTGCACGAACCAAACAGGTTGGACCACATGCAGATAGTAAGCCTCGGCGGTACACCCCAAAGGTGACGCGCTGGCGAATATCGCACTTGTACGGAGCTAAGTGGATAACCTAACCTACTTACTGGTCCTATCGGCCTATCAATTGGCAAACTGTTTAAATTGCTGGTGATCAATTGTAGATATTTCTGACTGGTGCTAAACGTAGGGAATGGATGGGTTGCTGAGGATTGCTGGGATGATTACTAGTGATGAAATGGATCATTCCCGAAAATTCCCTGCGTAAAACGCACCAGTAAGATAAGCCCATCCAGCTTTAAATCCACCAGAAACCCCAGCCAAAAAGGGCTAATTCGCCATGAAAAAATCGCACTCACATGGAGATTTCACCGTGGAACGTTCCGCCGTCAATGGACACGGTGACATAAAAAAGTTTTCCCCCAAAAGGATGAGATAGATGATATGTACCTCACATTTCCAGGTTCCAAGTTTCTTCTATCATCTTCTATCTATTTTTCGGGTGGCATTTTTGATCTACAAGTGATAGTCTCCTTCCTGTCAATTGTTCAACCGGAAGATCTTCGGTTCAGGGATTCCAGCGGGTTCATCCAGGAAGTTATCCCCATAAGTGAGGTCATGCAGGTTATCAACTATCAACCACTAGGAATGGGGTGATGGGTATAGCGGTATAACTACCAGGATTTTAACCTTTTAACCTCCATAAGTTGGGATATGACATAAGCCCTACAACTATGGTGAACTTCGGTGAACTGCAGCCCCAAGTCGCTTGAAATCTATCTGGTGAAAGATGCCGGACTGCATTGGCCACCCCGGTGAACATTAAAAAAAAAGCTGGTAGTTGTGGATGTTCATTCCCCAAAAAAATGTCTTGAAAGGTATTGTCAATGGGAATCCCCTGAAAAATAGGCCTTATATATGGTAGGTACCTCCAATCAATCGGTTCCTGAGTCATGGCCATTCATATTGATCCATAGCGATTTTTGGTATGACGTTTTTTTGTAATTTGCCAACAAGCCATCCGCAATTCAGTTGTACATCTTCATGGTCAATCGGTCAATCCGTGCATTTTCCGTTGTCCGTTGTCCTCAAGTCATCTGCACACGTCCGTCCGGGACAATATTAAACTGAAACCATCTTCACACACACACACACTTACCCTCTGGTAAACATTTACATAACTATGGAAAGATCCACCATGCTATCAATGGGTAGTCATCCACTATTTCGACTGGGCCATTTCCAGTTCGCAAACTGTTAGTCATTACCAGAGGGTACTTCACCAAAAAAACTCGTCAGCACCATGATCAGATAACAGTTCTGGGTCCCCACAGGTGACGCTTCATTCTCCACATCTGGGGGGAATGGCCACGACACAGGTACCGATTGATTGGAGGTACCTACCATACATAAGGCCTATGTAAGGGCTAAATTTCAAGGGATATACACCCAAAATATGGCCAGAAATATGGTACTAACGTACCTCCATTTTAGGATCCGGGAATTCCCAATGCCTGGGGGGAATACCCCAAAGAAAAAAAACGGGTAATTGTTTGACTCCATTCAAGCTCCAACTCACCCCTTCCAACAAGAAGCGAGCAGGCAGAGCACCACGAGCCAACAGAACCTGGGGATCTGAGAAATCTGATGCTTTCGGGGGATGATTTTGTCTGAACTGTGCAGTTCCACGAAGTTTTTGGGATGATTTTGTCACCATAGTTGTAGCGGCTGTATCCCAACTTATGAAACTTGAAATCTCATAGTTGCACCGGTGATGTTCACCCTCATTGCACCCCCATGGAAGATTGTTGGTTTTATATCCTATCATATTCTCATGATATTCCCATTAAATGGTTACGTTTTCCCGAGTGTCACCACGGCTTCCCAATGAGATCACTCAAAAAAAGTCAGTGGTGTCTAACACAACTATCCCATTCATCCAGATTAATCCACCTCTTTCCTAGATAAGTTCATAGGTTCACATCCTGGGTCCATTTTTTCATCACCCATATTACTCCACTTCCCATGTTCATACATTTTCCATGGTCAGCTCTCAGCTTTTCTTTGCATGGGCTTCGGACTTCACTGATACACTTCCCATACTTCCCACTGGGGCAGCCCTGCATTCCACTGGTGGAAAGAATGCCAGCGCTTTTTTCGTGCTTTGGCTCGTCTCGGACGGACAACCTGAAAAACACAAAACACGGAGATTGTGTGGCTGCGGTACTAATCATGGGACTATCAATGGGATTTTGTTGATGGGATATTACTGGGATGTGGGATATAGTGGGATTATCCTCTGGTAAACTTACATAGCTATGAAAAATAAGTATCTTGATACGTAAATAATATATAAATGTTCCATATAGCATAGCTATGTTAGTTCACTGGAGGGTATAATGTTGGTACACCGTTAAAGATATAGCAATACCCCATCATTAATATGGTACAAATGGAAGTCTTATCAATATGACCCGCAATTACAATGATATGTTGTGCTAGCTGTATGGGATTTTATAATATTGCTGGGATATTTTGGAACATTGCTAGTTGGTTTGGGTTATATCCCAATACAAACAATTTATCGGGATATATTGGGATAAGGAATGATGGGATGATAATGTGATATATAACCAAGACTATGACGTTGTGTTTGCCTGAAACGGTTGGGACAAATCCCAGAGCAAAAAAATGTAATCATGTAATCACTGTTGGGTATATTCCATTTTCCAACAAACTTCCCCCAGAAAGGGGTGCACCATTGGGAGGGTTTCAATATGGGATGGGAACAGAAAGGGAAACTCACTTGGTAGCACTCATGACGAATCCATCTGACTCAATCTCTGGCGGCTCACTATGGCTCATTTCAATGTTACAATTAATTATCTGGTTGGTGGTTTCAACCCCTCTGAAAAATATGAAAGTCGGTTGGGATGATTATTCCCAATATATGGAAGAATAAAATTCATGTTCCAAACCACCAGCCAGATTATATACATATATTGCGTTCTTGCGCAATTACAAAAAAACCTGCTTGCGAATTGATCTCAAGCAAAATATTCCCCGCCAAATCCTATTTGTCCCTCACTCTTGGGATTGCGCCCCAAGAAACCGAAAAATCGATTGGTACTTGGTGGTTCATCCTACTTAGTGGGCTCTACACCTAAGTATAAGTCGGGTAAACAGGATCAGCCCACTTCTAATTGGGTTGTAAGACCTTATTGGATGGAGTGAACCACCAAGTCTTCCTTCGGGACTACAATGATGCGGCCCCAACACCTCTAAATATTTATGGATAGCTATGACATGCTATGACCCCAAATGCCTGCCTAGTTTCCGATCATCTTGGTACTTGAATAGTCCTACCGGTAGGTGGTTCACAACCATGGTTACTTCACAGAATTAAATATGAGGGATGTTTAGATAAATAGATCTGTATACAATATATCTGTAATTATACTTACTATATTATATAGTAGTATGAGTGTGTATATATATACGTATATGTATATATATATATCGTATGATTTCAGATAATATACATACAGTATATATATATACAGTATATAGATTCTCCACTTACGAACTTTCTAACTGGGAGGCATTTCCACATCTTCCGACCCCACCCTTCCCACCACGACCGTCCGTGGCACATCCCCACTGCCGGCATCAGGGGAGGCAGCGCCGTCGGCGCAGCTGCAGCCACCGGCACCAAAAGCACTGCAGAATTCGTCGCCGCGGTGAGTGGTTCATCGGCGGGCCACAGGGTAGCCGGGGCGGACCTAGGTTTGTCAATGGCGCCAGGGCAGTTGTTTGGGACAGAATGGCACAAGATTCACATTATGAAATATATGAATATGTATCTCACATGTTCATATATATATATACATGTATAGACAGATCTATTTTTGGTGCATATAATATATATTATATATATACATGTGTTTGAAAATATATGAATACAATCCATCATCGAAGATAATCACAGTTGACCAAATGTAATGTTGTGAATCCCATGAACCCCGCCCACACACATACACACACATTCCCAATTAACGATATTGCCACAAATGGGTGAGAAAAATATGCCACTTACTCACAGGAACCCTGCAACCAGTTTGAAACCCTGCCATTTGATCCCCAAGATGGCCAACAGGGGTCGGTAAATGTCCTCATTTTTCCCATTGCCCAACTAAAAGGAGAATTGACTCTCCAACAAATATTTTTCAAGTGACGTTCAAGATTCTCAAAATGGGTCATTTACCAACCCGGATTTTATCATACTATGTCATACATGGCAGTGGGCAATCATCCATTTTCCTAGGATTTTCCCGCGCAAACCTCCATCTATCGTGGATTTTACATGATTTTCTCATGATTTTCCCAGCTACCCTCTGGTAATTTAACATAGCTATGGAAAGATCCACCGTTTTCAATGGGAAAATTCAGTATAAATGGCCATTTTCAATAGCTATGTTAGTTTACCAGAGGGTAGAAACTTCCATTTCTAGCTGATTTCCCAGCCCGATCTTCCCCCCATGCGCCTGGCTGCAGCAGCGACAGCATCCCCAGTCCAGGGCTGCCCTGTCTTGCGCCGCTCCAAGGCAAACCAGACCTCGCCCTCACCGCCTCGCGAAGGGTCGTTCCAATTAGCCTGGCTGAATTCTATGGTTTATGGATGTTTATTGTAGATATATACAGATATATAACGAACTAGTTCATGGGGTTTAGAAACCAACTTATAACAAACATTGCCAATCAGCCAGAGGGCCCCTGCAACAAATGACAAATGCTTAGCTGGTGAGTAAGTAGATCATCCCATTGATACCAAAAGACTAGTTAGGATTAGTTTCTACCCATCCAGTCGATTGACCTAGTAATCATCATTAATCATCATTAATCATCATTAATCATCATTAATCATCATTAATCATCATTAATCATAATCACTAGAAATCACCATATAAATCACCATAATATAGATAATAAGTGATCGTATGCTAGTCAAATCTGGGATGAATTCATCCTGGGTAGGCTTGCCTACCTAGTTTATCTACTGTGGGATCGCCTCGGCATCGTAAGTGCTTGGCAGCCTGCATTTAAAACTGGGGTATGCCCTATGTAGAAATGGGTTATGTATGGTTATTAAGGTTATTATCATAAATCGACCTTGACCTTCAACCAATGAAATGGCCAAAAGCACCCACATGTTGATGTAAACACATGTAAACACGCATCTTAATGGAGTCAATGAGGGTGTGGGTACTCATTGGTTTGGCAATCTACGGTATCAATCTATTGCTCTATCCATGTTCTCTCAACCTATATATGTACCTGGTTTCTCCTGTTCTGGTAGCTGTCTTGCGTTTCATGATCATTTGATATTGTCATTGAAAATAGCGGCGATGTGCCTAGCCTCACATCTGAGGAAAACACTAGAGACCATCACAAGAAACATCTTCATCACTCCCTTGTTCCAAGTCTAATCCCATCACCATAATTATTAGTATCCCAGCAAACTAACCTAGCTATGGCCCATGATAAAAGATTTACAATGATGTACCTATTTAAAAATGGTGTTCTACAGCTACGTTAAATTACCAGAGTGTATCCTCCTGTAAATTCGCATACATGTGAAAAACAGACACATACACAAATTGTAGATCATTTAAAAAGAAAAAAATCTCCATGAACTGTTCTCCATCAACCAGGAATTTTACCCTTTGGTAATTTAACGTAGCTATTGGAAATTGCCATTTAGTTCGTTGATTTACCTATATATTAAAATAATGGTGATTTTCCAGTTCGCAAACTCTTGGTTTGCCGGAGGGTACAGTATATCCCATTATGTCCCATTGTATCCCATTTTATCTACAAGGTGGTGCCCCATAGTTAGCTAAGTTGGTTTATAATTCTCCTCTCGCTATGGATGATATGTTCATTGAAACCTTTCTAATGATATTGGCCCTATGATAGTTGATATAATATCCCCATGATATTCTCATTATCTATCCACTATTAATAATGATATTTGATAGTCAATAATGATATTAATAATGATATTTTAACTATCATAGGAATCATAGGGAATATCATGAAATATCAAAAGGAATATTCGGCTAATAATAATCTGGTTGATGGTTTCAACCCCTGTGAAAAATATGAAAGTCAAATGGGATCATTATTCCCAATATATGAAATATCATAAGGAATATTAGGCTAATTATGATATGTTGATCATTTTCCCCTCAAAAAAACGATGTCTCCCGACCTCGCGCCTCCATTCTCCAGGCGTAAGGGTAAGGCCCAAATTTGGCTCACGCCCTCGGCCTAGGAGGACCGGAGAAAACTTGAGAAAACCGAAGACAAGGACCCTATATCCTCTGGTAAACTAACATAACTATGGAAAATCACCATTTTCAATGGGAAAATCCACTATAAATGGTCATTTTCAATAGCTATGTTAAATTACCAGAGGGTAAATACTGGTTTACCCTCTGGTAAACATACAAACAACTATGGTAACTATCACCATGTTATAAGTTTCTATAGCTGGGTACATTAACTGTTTCTATGGCCATCAAGATCTCTTATGACGATAAAATTAGTAAATGTCATGATATTTGAATTCAAGTTCAATATATTGAATCTAATGATGAGAATAAATGATTCGTGCCAATTTCACCTTAATTTGATGATGAAAACTAAACATCATCAGAAAATATTGATGCTTGTTGATGATTATTGCCCATTATAGAGTCATCAACAATAACAATCATGTTTTTCTGGGTTGGATGTTATGTTTGAATCCTTTTTTCAGGGGTGCTATAACATGAGAACATCAATCTATGTAGATGCGTGTATATACATATATATATACACCGATCTGTCGATCAATCGATCCAGCTTATACACATGGTTCATCTTAATGCAATAATATAATGTCATATATATATATCATCACGTAGTTGTTGAATATTCGTACTACATGATACAATCGTCTGTTGTACTGGCAGTTGTACTACTAGTTTTGGTACTATGTGTTGAATTGTCGTATTTCATATGTTTCACATATGTTGGGTGCACAAAAAAAAAGTGCCTTTCTTTGGATAGGAAAATCATCCATTCATGGAGAGGACTCCAGGAAAATGGGGGGGGGTATTTTACCTCATTTCTATCTATTTTTGTAACAGTTTCTATCTCTATACCTGGAATGTCCTGTAGGACCGTCCAGAAGGCAGATCAGTATGATCATTGAGCAGTGCTCAAGATCCCTCTATCATTCCATTATACTGGTTGGTGTATAGGGATTCCCCGTTCTTGGATTATTATCACGTGTGACCAAATGGCAGTGTGTCAAAACCAATAGTACCCCTGTAGTTCACATCAAAATAGCTGGGATTTATGGATGTTCATCCCCCTAAAAATGGTATTAATAGGTATTGATCCATACCCATATCATTAGTATACATGATTCCCCATTAGTATACTAATGATATTAATGGGTAAATGGGTAAATCAACTATTTAATAAATTCCATTAGTATTTACCCATGTATACTATTCCATTATATGCCATTACATGGGGTATGTACAGAGAGGAGGGTGTATAGATGTAGGGCTGTAAAGTCCATGTTCTTTTTCACCCTAGAGGGTGTAAACCTCACAATCCAAATAGGGTTGAAAAACCCCGACATGAAACCAGTGGGGAACTTAGCTATCTAGGGGACCCCTTCTATTATAGATGATATAATAGAACTTATAAATAGATAATCCGCGGATTGACACTCATAAGTTTATAATAGAACTATTATACATCATATATAACTATGGCATTAAATAATAATAGAACTTATAAATAGTGGAGATGGTTCATATATAACTATGGACATTATAGAACTATATACAACTATAATAAGCCTTCTATTTAAAAAGAAGAAAAAAACAACTTTGTTGACCATGGCATGTTGTTGGTTCAAGTTGATGTACCAAACCGTCCAAGGTCACCATCCTGTAGCATTCACTTGAGATATTTCACTGGCTGAATTCTATGGTTTATGGTTTATGGCTTACCACAATTTGTTACTAAAAATTAAAATACCACATGCGTTACTAAAAAAGTTAAGACCAATTGAATGGGGAGAAAAATGAGTGATTTACCCAAGCTGTTCAAACTTACGGAATTCGAATGAGGGATTTACCCATGGCCAATCTTAGATCACCTGCAAAAAATGACAATTCTTAGCTCGTGAACGTAGATAATCCCATTGATACCAAAAGACTAAAGGATTAGTTTCTACCCATCCAAGATTGACCTAGATTGCTTACTAAAGCCGAAATCTCAAATTCCGCGACTAACCTATATATATATATATGTATATATATATATTACATACATATGGAGGTTTCCTAAAATAGTTGATACCCCAAACCATTGTTTTTCCCATTGATAATCACCCATAACTTGGATGATTTTGGGGTACCACCATTTTAAGGAAACCCCAATAATTGGGTTTAATTAATCACTTACCACAAGGTGGTGCCCCCCCAGTGATAAATTGGTGTTGTAAGCCCACTGAGTATAGACATATCACCTATAAACCACAGTGAAATTGGAGTTGTTTGCACAAACTGAACGCTATCACGAATCCCATTAAACCATATTAAACCACCATTTGTCTTTGTTAAATCACAATTTTCCTATGGTTTCTCTTTGGTTTCCCTATGGTTTCCCATCACCATCAGCTTCGTTTCCCCCCAGCGTTCCGCAAGCGCTTCTTTTGATGGGGCCACCGCAGCTCGGGTCAGAGAGGGTTTCAGCAGCCGTCGGAAGCTGACGATGGAGTTGGTGCCCACCCTGGCGCCGAAGTTTCCAAGGGAATGGATTGGTGAAAGGGAAAATCTCCCATCAGTATCTTTTATATATATATATACATATATATATATCAATATATCAATAATGTATCAATATATAGTTCTGAATGGGTTGGGTTCAAGGGAATGATATCTAGATAGTTTTGGAACAAATGTTTACACTTGTTTTTTTTCCACCAATGTTGTTTGGGGACGTCCTCTAGATTTTCCCCTTAGACCAATACACAAGACTCGTAACTTCATGAATTCTATGGTTTATGGTAGACTGGTTGGTGGTTTCAACCCTCTGGCAAATATGAGTTCGTCAGTTGGGATGATTCTTCCCAACTGAATGGAAAATCACAAAATTCCATGGTTCCAAACCACCAACCAGTAGATATATCGATACTTCCGGGGGCGAAAAAAACAGCAATTTATCACTGAGGGGCACCCGGTACCAGCCATGTTTTTCGGATGGGATACATGGGGTGTAACCTCCAGAGATGACACAAAATTGGTAGATTGAAGGGATTCAACCACGAAAAAAGATGGAAAATCCACAGGATGGTGCCCCTCAGTTATAAGTGGGTTTATAAACCCCATTAACTATAGTTATATTGATTTTCAGATCTCCAACTAACTAAATTTCTATGGCAATTTTCCAGAGCAAACTGGTAGTTTACCAGAGGGTATCAGGATTGATGGATATCCCATTTAACTAGAAACAATAGATTTAACCAATGAATAACCATTGGTTGGTGGAAATCAATCATCTGCCAGAGCGACATTGGCTGGTGGTTGAGCCATCTCAAAAATACACGCATCAATGTGGATTCAAAATAGTTGATGTTCTGGTTGGTGGTATACCTACCCCTCCGAAAAATATTGATCAGTTGGGATGATTATTCCCAATATATGGAAAAATAAAAAATGTTCCAAACCACCAACCAGAAAATAATCGATGTTAGCTGAGCAATGCGATAAGCCCACCTATATTTTGATAGTTTATACTAATACCACCCATTTATTTACGATTCTTGGGGGATGGTGTACTATTGCTTTACGAACATTATGCTCGGAAATAGGCAATATTTGAGGACACCAACTAGTATCTGTTTCATGGCCACAGAAAAGTTCGACCGATTTCACGGCGAGATCTTGTCCTGTCCATCTTGGAGGCTATAGCCATCACAGTTTCAGGGGACACTCCTCATTGTTTCAAATCCCTACTTGGGGTTGCATCCCAGTCAGTAAATCGTTTATAGCCCATATTATATATTATAGTATATATATATAGACATATTATAGTGTATATATATATATTATGGAATATATATTATAGTATATATATATTAATTATAGTACATATATATATATATATTAATTATAGTACATATATATATGTGTTAATTATAGTACACATATATATATATATTATAGCATATATATATTATAGTATATATATATATAGCATATATATATATTATAGCATATATATATATAATAGCATATATATGTATATATATTATGGTACATATATATATAATATTATAGTACATATATATATTGTATATATATATATATTATTATTAAACATCTATATATATATATATTGTATATATATATATATCATTAATTATCTATATATATATATATATATATATTATGTATATAGTCCATATATATATTATGTATATAGTCCATATAACTGCAGATATTTCCATAGCTGGCATTTTTTAGAGGGTTACTACATCTCCGCCTGCCAGGAGCATCATCGGTGCCCAAGACCGTCTCACTCCTCAGTGCGTCAGGGAGCTCTTAGAAGAGCTGCCAAGGTTCAACTTTTGGGCAAATCCATACAAGGAAACTGGTGATCTAAGAAGGAAAAATGTGGGTTTTAATGGGATTTATGATAGCGTTCAGTTGGTGCAAATAACTCCAATTTCACTATGGTTAAGTTGGTGATATATCGAACTTGTTAATGGGGAGTATAACCTATCTATAACTGGGGGGGGCACCACCTTGTAGGAAATCCATGTCATTACTTGGCCAAACCCCCCATTTTTTGATGTTTGAATCACTTGAATCACTTGGTGAACAAATCCAGCTTTTGTCCAGTTTTGATGATTACGGGTGAAACTGCCAGTCCAGTGGCTTTCACAAGTCTCGACTCCAAGTCTCTACTGATCGTATTTCAGCTAACCCACATCCAAAAACATCAACAATCTATGTTTGATGGTTTGAAATGGTCAAAAACGCCCTGTTTGATGGTTGAACTACCCAACAAAAAGTCAACCAGCATCATCCTAATTCATGTTCTACAACATATTCTACATCTATACTATACACCTGATTTTTATCCCATTTTATCCCCACCCAGTTGAAACACCAAGTCTCAACTCCTCCAAGTCATGCCTCACAAAGCCAGCCGCCGCGTAGCCGGGCATCTTCGCGTCCTTGCCGCGGTTCGCGAAGCCCAACGGCCCACCCCAGGTCTCTGCCAGATGGCCGCAGCGCTCAGTGTCCGCGGGGCCCAACAAAAGGTACTCCAGGACGCTGGGGCAACGACCTGGGAGTCATCCCCCAAAAAAGGAAGTGGTTGCTGGTAACCATAGTTATGACATGTCATTTAACCACTATTAACCAGCATTAACCATTAATGGGTGGTTTATGGTTCATAAAATTCATGTTCCAAACCACCACTTTGTACCGCTTTGTGTGGCGCACTGGCTTGGGTTGGGAAGACAGTGCTTTAACTGTGGCGACTCTACGGTCAGTGTGGCAACGCGGCCAAGGGGACGGGCAGCCGGTCAAGAGTCCGGGACTGCCGTCGGAATAGAGTGAAACTGAACTTAACCGGACCAGGAGAAGATGTCTCTCCAAGCCAACGAACATTGAAAAAGAGCAACATCGTAAACACCCAAGACCAGACACAGTGGCCGGCCCCGGCGAAAACGGCAGTTGACACAAACCCCAAAAACTGGTAGAAGGGCATCAGAGCAGCAAGAACCCACACGGCACAACAAGACCCCATCATCATCATACCAATGTGAGAACCATGCAGTTCAGGCCCACCCCCGCATTCACCATCATCTCTCAGTCGCTTCCGCAACAAGCCACGTATATGAGAAAGCTGATTCTCAAACAGAGCCTGGATGCACTGATACTGGGTCTTACTTTGGCCGTAAAAGTGTTGAGGCGGGGCCTGCATCAGGGCCTGTAGATTCGAAACTTGTTGAGACTGACGGTGGGTGAACTCCAGAAACTGCCCGTCAATCTGTGTATGGTTCTGCATCAACGGTTGCACTTGACCAATAGCAGAGAGCTCAAGGTTGATGTTCTCCTTCACAACTCCAGACCAGTCAACAAACCTATCAAGGTGTCGCGAGATGAACAGATCTCTGCATGCAGGGACAGCGCATGAACACACTGAGACGGTGCAGCTCTAAGGTTGTTAGGAAGGGACACAGCACAAGGGTCTGCCCCTCCTTTCCGATCACCCAACTGGGAAAACGGCTGACATGAAAATCCCGCACTCTTCACCGCAGCATGATTACACGTGGACCACACTCCAGCGATCACCTGGGGACAGCCAGCATCACAGATCACATACTCACATCCTCCATGAACCTTGTGTAAGGTCACCATACGGACACTAGAGTCGACAGCTACCATTGTTTGCACACCAACGGCATAGGCCCCATGTGCAGGACCATCAAACCCGTAGCAAGCATCGACCAGTTTGAGGAAGTCCTCCCAGGTATGCAGTGAGTGAACCAACACCTTAGCACCATCATCCACCTTCAGCAACGGAATAGAGACTTGCTGCACCAGGACAACATCCAACCGAGTGAGCACTTCAGGAGCTCCATCCAAGAGGCCAGTACGCACCAGACCAGTCCCATCACGGACAGAGGACCAAGTGGCGCACATGCACAGGATCAACGACCACCATGACCACATCAGAGAGCTACCTCCAGTGTCAACTTCAGCAAGATCCATGACGATCCATGGCACAACACGGTGAACGAAACGCTCTACGATCAGCAGGGCACGGCCGCACCTGCTGGTAGGTGTAGAGCCCACGGCTTGTTCCAAACCACCAACCAGCATAGTTATGACATGTTATGAGCTTATAATAACTATGGTTATACTAACCCAATAACCCAATATTCTACCATTTATGGGTCATAAGTTATGACCCATAAATGGTAGAATATTGGGTTAGCATAACCATTTATAACCCACAAATGATTGGGCCATGGGAGAAGATTGGGATGAAGTAAGTGGTTCGTAACCATAGTTAGTTCATCCATATATAATTGGGAGAATATATTGGGAGAATATTGGGATATCTTGGCTGTATCATGAGGATATATGGAATTGTAAGTCATTGTATGTATAGGTCGCCCCAAAAAGGTATTGATATTGGTGTTTCCAGGATGGTGTAGATGTTGTAGATGATGTTTTCCACATATTTTCTAGGTTCCCAAGTTTTCTATCTTTTTGGGGGTCCTATAACTAAGCATGACCTATGGAAATGGAAAGCAACAATGATTGGGCATACTCGGATGGTGTTGCAGATGGGAGTTCGTGTGGGTAGAGAATACTTGGAGGGGAATCCTGAGAATCGTGCGTGGTGTCTAGCGCTACAGTGATCATACGCCCTCCATTCGTGGGGTTATCTATTTCAGGGCTGGGGATCCTCTAAGTAAGGCATGGTAGGGCTGGCATTCCCAATTTTTTATGATGGTCTTCCTGCTCTTTCCCACACAAAATATTACCTCTTGATGTTCCAAACAGACAATGACTGGCCCACACCGCGTATCTTGATGGGTTTATGGTCAGGTTGCTGGGTGTTTTGCTCGGATTGGAGTGCACTGCGAGTATGATGCCCATTTCCTGACAAAACATATCTTGAAACCCCATCTCATCCCATCTTTCAGAAAACCCAGTTTTTCAACCAAAAAAAAACTAAACTGATCATGACTCAGGGGCCCATCCCTCATTTTCAGACTCACCTACATAAACCCATTTTTGAAGCCGTGAATTTTTGCAGGCGAGTCGGCTCGTGAATCTTCGTGGTACACAAGTCATCCTGGCATCTGGCAAGGAACGGAAAGCACTGGACCAATCAATACCTGGAGGCATGCAAACGCAGATCACCAGTCGCGGGGCATACACCTGCGATCAGCTGGGAAAAAAATGAATGTGGGTATTTGAAGAAACTCAAATCTTGATCTCGATCATTCGATACAGTCTGAATGAGTTTCATACAATCTAGGACTATAAATCAAAGACTTTTGGTAAATCTAGGCATAAACTAAAGATTTGTCAGAGTTTCCCCAACATGGATCTATGAAAATCACTATCAGGGTGCATCTGCTATGTTCAAGTCACAAACATACCTCCAGGAGAATCCAAGATGCCAAGGGGAAATCCATGAGAAATAACCAGAAATGGAGCAGAAGTGGCTTGTTTTTGGTCATTGCATGGCTAAGTTTAGATCACCAAAAAAAAACATGGAAAAAACACACACTAGTACCCTCCAGCAAACTAGCATAGCCACGGTATAGATGGCCCGTTGAATTCGATGATTTGCCTGTTGAAAATGGAGATTTTCGATAGCTATGGTAGTACCCTCTGGTAATTTAACATAGCTATTGAAAATTGCCATTTATAGTGGATTGTCCCATTAAAAATGGTGATTTTCCATAGTTATGTTAGTTTACCAGAGGGTAGCTATGGTAGTAGATTGAAAGATAAGCCAGCTGGGTTGCATGTTTTCTAGATACATCGCCAAAACCAAAATATTAGCGAACCAAACCAAAGTTTATCCAGATCAATCCCGTCACCCTAATAATCCTAATATTAAATACTACCCTCAATCAAAGACCCTAAAACGAATAGAACCAATACTAAAGCATGCTTTCAAGTGCGATTTACAAGGTATTCAATATGATTGGTTATATCCCATGACATCCCGTTACGTCCCAAAAATCATCCCACGACATCCTATTACATCCTAGTCTAGTACATCCTAGTACGTCCACAAAAAAATACCATAAAAAATAACGTGGGTAATTACCAATGCCATAAATGCACCATCCGCCAGTCAAAAAAAACGCACATTTTTATAGGTGCTAAGCTGCTATGGAAATCCCATTCCCAGTCATCGGTGGTAAAAATGGCATTGTTTTACCCTTATCAACCATCATTCACTATCAGTAACCATCAGTAACCATCATTAACCACTAACCATCATTACTGGGGAATTACAGTAACCATTTCTGAACCATTTCTTAACCATTTATTAACCATCATTAACCATTAATGGGTGGTTTATAGCAGCCAATCTGACTGGCATTGTTTTACCCAGATGGCACCTCCAATGCTTCCTCCAAAGAGAGCTGCGTCTCTGGAGGATGAAACGGTGTCTCCTGCCATCGATGCCATCGATTTCTCCAAGGAAAGAATGGTAAAGTTCTCCATCGACTCAATGGGAGTTAAGATGATTTCAAAGGGTTTAATGTTTAATGATATATATATATATGTATATATGTATATATATATATATATGTACATCTTATATCTATTTATATATATACATAAATATATATATATATATATTTATTTATTATAATTATACTTATTTATATATATATATACACAAGTATGGCTGAACTACGGTAACTCACTGACCTGACAGCTACAGTAAGGCCATAAAAGGGGATGATTCCCCTATACATTCACCATCATTCCAGTGACATCACGACGTGAGGTCAGAGTTTCTCCAAATGTATCGAGCTGTTTCCCAAATGTGCCCCCGTCGTTCCCCCACGGCTGACGAAAAATCACCTATTCATGATTTATTGCCATTTCAGGGTTATGTGAAGGGCCACGGGCCTGGAACCCGATTGTCTTGATGCTAAGAAAACATGGCAAGACTAGGTGACTAGGTACCGGTATGGTTTATGGTTTGAGGCACTCCACGTTTAGATTTGAAAACTCCATGACCCATCCCTGACCGATCCTCGTTGAATTCGTCCTTAGTCGCAGCCACTGGAGGCAGGTTACAGGCAGTGAGGAATGAGAATGCTTTCTGCAAACTTCCCCAGTAAACATGATATTTCCTCCGTTATCCACCGCATGAGACCCTTATTGCCTTGGCTGTGGAATTTTAATTATATGAACGTTTGTACAGGTACAAACTCTTGTGCTACTAAGTTTGCTCAGCAAAAACTACACAAGCTTGTGACATGGGTTAATCAGGTTGATTTATGTTGACAGTATGGATTTCTGCTTAAAATGAAAATTACAATACCCAAATAATAGATATTCATGCATGGCCGGTTTATACAACGTACTACACCAAAACATCGTATTTCTTGACAAATTGCACTAATTCACTATCTGAATACTTTGGCTGTTTGGGGATCGTTAACCCTTACATTCACCATGATTCTAGTCACGTCGCGATGTGACGTTGCAACATAATCTATCCAGAATTATCCTCTTATTGATGGTTGTATCACTTACATATGAGTTACATCCCCTGTTTTTATGGTTATAACATGTTATAACCATCCATATACCGAAAAAAACCGTCCCATCCTTTCGCCGACAGAGCTCCAGCGAAGGCCAGCGCGCCATGGCCGAACAAGGCCGCGCGGGGTCTCGGGCCTCGGTGTCTCCCCGGGGAAGCACGGCGGCCACTTTCACGTCCTGGCCGTGGCTTCCAATTGTGATGTAATTATCTTATTTGATATCAATGGATATTTATGTTATCCCAATTGATTATATCAATGGATGACAACGGTATTATAGGGATATGAAAATTATATAATGGGTTAAATATATATATATAATAATATATATAATATATATATATATAATAATATATATATATATATTAATATATATATATATTAATATATATATATATATATTAATATATATAATAATAATAATAATAACAATAATAATAATAAATAATATATATATATATATTGTTTGATTATATCATAAATGGATTCTATGATATTCTATGTGTACATATATATATAGATATATATATATATATATATCGGATGTATATGTAATATATATATATGGTCACCGCCTTCCCCAGAACCCCCATCTTGAGGATTAGGGCATATATATATATGTATATGTATATACATGTAGTATTCAATGGAAATGATGCTTGAATAGAAACTCGATGATTTCATGGAAGGAGAACGGAAATGAGACATTTATGGGACTGACAAAGCCATGGACATTTGATTCATAGGGATCACGGGGATAGCCGAAGGAATATCAACCACTTCACTGGATGACACTCCCACCTCGAAAAAATCTCATGTTTTTGCTGCAAAAACACCATCTTGGATAAATCATCCACACATCCCCCGGCCCTTATAAATCCATGTCTGTGGCTAAACTTTGCCTACTTAACCCTAATGAAATGGCGTATAAACCCAGCTATATTGGGATATGGTGATGTATATTGTGATACAACTACTGGGGGCTTCCCTTGAACGAACGGTCACTCTTCATGTGAGGAAACTCACCTCGAAGATCAGCAGTGAATGTTTCTGTCATTGGAACATGATGTCAACCCTGGGAAAATCACCACTGTTGATAGATAAATCAACGAACTAAATGGGCCATGTTCAATAGCTATGTTAGATTACCGGAGGGTCTCCTGGTACATCAAGATTTACCGACCCTGGTTGATAAACATCAACAAGGGTTGAATCAAGATTTATCCTAGTTGAATAAAGATTATTCCCCACAAATAGTGCCACGAAAATATACTAAACGGATATCCCCAATGATCAAAAATACTTCAGCAAGCAGCGGCAGAAATGGTCCTTTCCAGGAAGGATTTTGGAGAGCAAGAAGTGGAGATAGTGACGCAAACGTGAGCATCCGCTACCAATGCACAAGACTCGATATGGAGACACTGCTTTGGTCCCAGTGTCGCCATAGTTCTGTTTGCTCGCCTTGGTGAAGGGTGCAAACGGAGGATCATCCGAGCAGGCAAGTAATGCAGTAAGCTGTAAGGTGAAGTTACCCCCTTTACAGCTGGGTCTGACCATACTTATCTCTCATCATCTCATCATTTTGGATAAATTCGTATGTTTGTTGTTACGAAACCCACTGTTTGCCCAATGATTCTGCAACACAATTTCTTACAAGTTCAAAAGTGGGACGAGCATTCCATTTAGTAAGTGGTTGATTCTCCGGGTACCAACCACGCTTGGTTTGAAGATTTGAAGGGTCATTTCCGAGGTGTACCCTGTCGGGCTGGATGTCTACCCCATCAACAAAGATCTGGTTGGTTATACTAATAATAGTGGTTTATAATACCAATAATAGTGATTATATATGGTTATATGATGGGATTACATTATAGAACATAATTGGTTGGTGGTTGAGCCCAACCCCTCTGAAAAATGATGGAGTGAGTTCGTCAGTTGGGATGATGACATTCCCAACTGAATGGAAAGTCATTAGATTCATGTTCCAACCCGCCAACCAGATAGCTGTCAACATCACCCTGCTATCATCCCTAGGGTCAAAGTTTACGGCCGCTGTTCCCTTTCCGATCCTGTCGGAATGTCGGGGCTTCCCTGGGATCCTTTTCCCCCATGGTCGGCGGTTGTGATTCGCCGGACCCAGTGACATACTCAGCCGCTTGCAACGCTTCTGCACAGTACTTGCTCAAGCCCTTCAGCATCTCCTGGGAAAAGAGCCTCAGATCCACTGCATGATATCCACATGATGATGGATAGCGGATAGCCGCAGGGTTATTGATGGCTGAATTTCTTTCACTTCATTGTATATGTTTCCCTTACTGTATATATTTCCTCTATGAATATCGCCTTTTACATCCTTTTACGAGGCCTAGGACACGTCCAACTACATGCTTAGCCCACCAGGATCGGGAAATAGAAGGACGTTCATCCAGGTCACAAGAACGGTACACATATATTGCTTTGCTTGGCATCGGAGTTTTTCATGCGACAGTGCCTTGAAACAACAGCCCGACTCCCAACTTTCACTCCAACTCCAACCCTACAAAAAGGCACCAAAATCATTTCTCATCTCAAATCCCAAATCCCAAGATATACCCCCAACCATCCAACTCCAACCCAAAAAAAACGTATAAAAAATAAATCATCGCTAAATCCAAAAGATATCCCAAAGATCCCAAACATCCCAACTAAGATTCCGTTAAAAAAAATATCCTTCCCCCCCCCCCAGGGGTCCCACCCCACCCCCATCATCCGCCAAGGCGCACGTTCAACACGGGCTCCTCCGGCCTCCACGTGCCACCCCGGAGGTACCACCGCCGCAGGGGGCTCTCCGCGCTCTCCGGCGTCAGCTCCGCCAGGGCAGCGACGAAGGGACGGTGGCGCAGGTGGCAGGCCAGGGCCAGGTCACCCAGCTGCGAAACGCCCGGGAAGACGGTCTCTTTGATCCTGCAATGTGGGGGCCCCGTTCGATAGCGTTCAGTTGGTGCAAATAACTCCAATAACTATGGTTTATGGTAAGTATAACTATAGTTCATGGGGCTTATAAACAAACTTATAACTGGGGGGGGGCCACATTGTGGAACTGGTTGGAAATTGGAGGGAAAATATCAGGATCTGATATGAATTATATGATAATATGATATATTATGATATCATATTGGAGAGGGGAAACTGATTATGATATTGTTGATGCTCTTTTTTTGATCGCATTTAACTCTTATTGTTTGTTGATAGATGTTGAAGTCTCCTTGATCCTGAGTCGTTTTGGACTTTTTGGGGTACCGTCCGGTGTCATCAAACATTGCTAGCTGGAACATCCTCTGTGTCTAGCTTGGAAAATCATCGAACTAAATGGCTGTCTCTTATTGTTAGGATATGAAGCTTCTTTTTTAGGATATCATGTTAAAGACATGTTCTTCAGGTGGAATGAAGAGAAATCGGATAATTTTTTGGCGGATGGAACATGGGAAACAAAAGGAAAACACTTGGGTGGATTTGTCATGCTGATGGGGCAAAAATGGTGACATTTTTGGGGTGAAGAAATCAGGACAAACTTGGTGGATTCTAGTTTCCCTGGTCTTGTAATCGTGATCATGAGCCCCCTGGAGGGGAGGATGAGACAGGATGAGGATAGGGATTGGGATGGAATGGTGGTAAACATCGACTGGATACCCGGCCTGGTAAACGTTAACAAAAAGCTATTGAAAATGGCCCAGTCGAAATTGTGAGTTTTCCCATGAATAGCATGGTGGATCTTTCCATAGCTATGTTAGTCATAACCAGAGGGTATGCCATGATAAACCATTATGAACCATTATTAACCATTATTAGCCATTATTAACCATAGTTATGCCATGTTATGCCATGTTATGCCATGTTATGCCATAGGGATTGGGATGGGATGTTTGTGGATATCTTGGATATCTTGGTGGGTTTCAAAGTAAAGTGTCGACTGAGAGGTGGAGTCGAGATGGGCTGGAAATTGTGGAAGTTCCTTCGATCGGATCTGCTGGATGCCTTCTCGGACTGGGGCTGCCGGCGGGATAGTTGGGAGCCTTCTGTACCATGATGATCCTACTGATCCTACTGCTTGAAACACATGTGCTTAAAACTGTAATCAACCATCCCCCAGTCATCACCATTTTGATAGGTGCTATAAACGGCTATGGTTACCATTCCCAGTCATGGGTGGCAAAAATGACATTGTTTTACCCACATCAACCATCATTAACTATCATTAACTATCAGTATCCATCATTAACCATCATTTATTAACCACTATTAACCATCATTAACCATTAATGGATGGTTTATGGTTTAGTTAAACATTGTTTTAACCACACTACCCCCATGTGTGCTGGCGACCCTCATTTATGTCCATATCCTCATCTCCATTTTTCGATGGTGTTTCCGCAACAACGGGTTGCTGAGATCCTCAATGTTCACCATAAACAGCATTATGTCCTCCTATGAATTTACATTCAAATAAAGTTAAATGTATGATGCATTTATATATAGATATATTACTATTACTGTATATTATTGTTTATGTATTTTTTATTTATTTGTTTATCTATTTATTTATACAGATGCATATTAACAACAATCTGGGTAAATTATAATATTTCACTAACCTGAATAGTTCGGCCATAAAAGGGGATGATTCCTCTTATTAACCATGATTCCAGAACAATATAATATTCCTCATATCATATCACATTGTTGGTTAGACTTCCCTTGGTAGATCCCGATCATGGCGGGCTCACACGCGGAGTTATGATGGTTGACCCCCGAGTCCCGGCAGATTTCCATCAGAGTGAAAGATCTTGCATGTATCGATATCTACATAGAATATGGCCATTTATGGTTGATTTACCTAGCAAAAATAGTGATTTTCCTAGTAAAAATGGTGAACATGGTGATTTACCTAATTCAAGATAGCAAATCAATGGGAATTTCAGGATCCAATTTATGGAGCTACGTTAGTACCATATTTCTGGCCATATTTTGTGGGGACATTCCCTGAAACTAAGGGCCTTATATATGGTAGGTACCTCCAATTTAGGTTCCAGAGATGGCCATTGACCTATATCTACATAGAATATAGTTGAATTCCCCAAAGTCTGGTACACTCTCTAAGGCATCTTGGAATTAAAATTCGCCTCAATCCCGTCATTGTGGCCAAAGCCAAAATGCAGTTAGAAATATGGAATTCACGTGGCTAAAAACTTGCGCCGCCAGAAAATACACCTTCTTCCGTGCGCATTTTTGGTCTCCAGGCACGGCATATTTAAAATACACCTGTCCCAAAGTGTATTTTTGGTGTTTTGACGTTGTGTATTTTTTGCATATGTTTGGTGCATTTGCGATGCGATTTTTGCTAAAAAGTGTATTTTTTTTACGCGTTTGGCACCTGTGTCTCGCCCAGGCGTATTTTTTTTACGCCTTGGGCATCTGCGTCTTGTGCAGGTGTATTTATTTTACGCGTGTGTGGAAATCGGACTTGCACGTTTACTGCGAGTGTATTTTCTTACCCGCACATTGTGCATTTTTTTTGGAAAGTGCATTTTTGGACTGCACCTGTGGAAACAAAAATCACATTCTTGCTGCAAGTGTATTTTGGCAGCACATGTTTTCCTAAGGTCAAGCGTACTTTTAATTGTTTTAAGATAGTTAGAGTCTCTACCGGGTTTGGGGAATTCAAGAATATAGATAGAGTTATGGTTACAGTATATACTTGGATTTGCTTAAGGGATCCCCGAAAAATAAAAAATATTCACTATAGATTCCCCAAATGGTGGATTCTCATGGATTTTCCACTTGGAAAATTAAAAATCACCTTAAACAAACCCAGGTATATACTAATCGTATACCCTTCAGCCAAAGTCTCTTGTAAGTCCGTCGCCGGCGCCACAAATTGCACCGCTGCCAGTCCTGAGACAACTCAAAGTCGCACTTCTTTTTGCGGCCACAATGTATGAAGATTGTGGGTTTTTCAGAAGAGATAAACTGGTTGGTTTCAACCCCTCTGAAAAATATTAGTCAGATTGGATCATCATCCCAACTATTGGGGAAAATAAAAAATGTTCCAAACCACCAACCGGTAAAAGAGATTGAAAGAGTATTGATCTTTTGGACTTGGCATTTTTCAAAAGCTCGTATCCTCATTTCATGGCCAGGGGAACAGTAGGGATCTTCCCCTATCTTCGCCCAGCTCCAAATAGCTCCAGAGAAAAAACTAACATGCAACGGGGATCATCAGCACGGGTATGAAAGGGAAACATGTTGGAACAAGTTCAAACTAAAAGACAAAGAGAATTGCGAGTCAACAACCTTGAGTGACTTGATAGATCTCCTGTGTAACAGCGGCCGTTATTTCTTCCGCATTCATATTCAAATATGATCAGCAACTGCAAAATCATAGGCTGCTGAAAAATGCATGGCCACATGAAATACTGCGAAGACTGCTGGGAAATGTCACTGAGTCCAGGCTCCTTCTAGACGTTTCGAGGCTCTCGTAAAATTTATATCCAAAGGTCAAGCTCTGAAGACTGCTTGGAAAGGTCACTCCTTTCAGGCTCTGGTTGAAATCATCTCCGAAGGTCAAGCTCTGAAGACTGCTTGGAAAGGTCACTCCTTTCAGGCTCTGGTTGAAATCATTTCCGAAGGTCAAGCTCTGAAGACTCCTTGGAAAGGTCACTCCTTTCTTGCTTGTGTCGAACCGTCTTCCAAAGGTCAAGCTTTGAAGACTGTCTGGAAAGGTGACTCCTTCCAGGCTCTTGTTGAAATCACTTCCGAAGGTCAAGCTTTGAAGACTGCTTGGAAAGGTCACTTTTTTCAGGCTCTTGTTGAAATCACTTCCGAAGGTCAAGCATTGAAGACTGCTTGGAAATGTCACTTCTTTCAGGCTTTGGTTAAATTTGACTCCAAGGGTCAAGCTTTGAAGACTGTCTGGAAAGGTGACTCCTTCCAGGCTCTTGTTGAAATCACTTCCGAAGGTCAAGCTTTGAAGACTGCTTGGAAAGGTCACTTTTTCCAGGCTCTGGTTGAAATCAACTCCGAGGGTCAAGCTTTGAAGACTGTCTGGAAAGGTGACTCCTTCCAGGCTCTTGTTGAAATCACTTCCGAAGGTCAAGCTTTGAAGACTGCTTGGAAAGGTCACTTTTTTCAGGCTCTTGTTGAAATCACTTCCGAAGGTCAAGCATTGAAGACTGCTTGGAAAGGTCACTTTTTCCAGGCTCCTGTTCAAAGAATATCCGAAGGTCAAGCTTTGAAGACTGCTTGGAAAGGTCACTTTTTTCAGGCTCTTGTTGAAATCACTTCCGAAGGTCAAGCATTGAAGACTGCTTGGAAAGGTCACTTCTTTCAGGCTTTGGTTAAATTTGACTCCAAGGGTCAAGCTTTGAAGACTGTCTGGAAAGGTGACTCCTTCCAGGCTCTTGTTGAAATCACTTCCGAAGGTCAAGCTTTGAAGACTGCTTGGAAAGGTCACTTTTTCCAGGCTCTGGTTGAAAGAATATCCGAAGGTCAAGCTTTGAAGACTGCTTGGAAAGGTCACTTTTTCCAGGCTCTGGTTGAAAAAATATCCGAAGGTCAAGCTTTGAAGACTGTCTGGAAAGGTGACTCCTTCCAGGCTCTTGTTGAAATCACTTCCGAAGGTCAAGCTTTGAAGACCGCTTGGAAAGGTCACTTCTTTCAGGCTCTGGTTAAATTTGACTCCAAGGGTCAAGCTTTGAAGACTGCTTGGAAAGGTCACTTTTTCCAGGCTCTGGTTGCAAGAATATCCGAAGGTCAAGCTTTGAAGACTGCTTGGAAAGGTCACTTTTTCCAGGCTCTGGTTGAAATCAACTCCGAAGGTCAAGCTTTGAAGACTGTCTGGAAAGGTGACTCCTTCCAGGCTCTTGTTGAAATCACTTCCGAAGGTCAAGCTTTGAAGACTGCTTGGAAAGGTCACTTTTTTCAGGCTCTTGTTGAAATCACTTCCGAAGGTCAAGCATTGAAGACTGCTTGGAAAGGTCACTTCTTTCAGGCTTTGGTTAAATTTGACTCCAAGGGTCAAGCTTTGAAGACTGTCTGGAAAGGTGACTCCTTCCAGGCTCTTGTTGAAATCACTTCCGAAGGTCAAGTTTTGGAGGCTCGAGGGGAGGTGGTGCAAGTACTCCCCATTCCATGCCCCTATCATGGTAGTCAGACCCTCTAATGCAAACTCTTCTTCGCCATCCTCAATTGCAGGATGGCCCCAGGCATAACGCCATGCAGCATACATATCTGTTGGAACATAAGTACAGGAAAGCGCCACCTCCTGACCTTCAATGCCCTGCTCCTGCAACGTTTGGCCGAGCACAAGCGGTGAAGCAAGGTACTGCAGTGCAAGTTTTCCCCCTCTCTTTGGCTGAAGTTGCTCCAAAACCATCTGCCGCACTTCCCGGCCCAAGGTGGAAGGAGGGAGGGTCAACTTGCAACCTTCACCATTCAGGCAAAGCACATGAAGGTCAATCACTTCGGAGCCACCAGCTGATGGCTCCACGTAGCCACTCATGGCCTCTTTGGGCTGGGCAGAAATTGAGTCAAGGCTGGGAGCCGGCAAAGGTTGAACCTGGTTATATCAGGAGTGCTCAACTTCGAACAAATCGTCACCGCAGAGACATTCCACAGTCACCCCAGTATGACGACAAGTATGACAAGGGCAAGTAAAAAATGTGACCCACAACTTCTTCACCCATTTAGATTAGTACGATATATACCCTAGCGCTGTATATATAGACATTGGTAGCCACCTACTACCAATATTTGTAGCTACTATCATGTGGCTGCGAAATTTGTTTCATAGCTGCTCCCGATTGTTCATACGGAAAAAAAAACTGCTCAGATATCCACAAATCATATTAAATAATCCCAAATATCCACAAACAAGTTGATATTGTCAACCATTTAAACGCATGTTACAGTAAGCACAAATTTATGGATATCCCCAACCATCAAATGGATATGATCCGAAAGATATGCTTATCCCCAACCTTAAAATGGTTGACAATATCCATATCAATCCCAACCATTTATGGCTATCCATTCCTTTTATTGTCAACAATCATTTATGGATATCCCCAAACCATCCAAATTTGTTTAGGCTCATATGATCCGCCTAAAGATATCATATCAAAATATATCAAATAATCCCAAATATCCATATGTTTAAAACGATATCCCCAAGCCATCTCCTGTCCTTAAAGATCTGATCCGCCGTGACATCTCTGCGCTCCGCTGCATCAATGCCGAAGGCCAGCTTCACCGCGGACAGAGGCGGAGGAATGGAGCTGAAGTCCTGGAGCTCTGGATTCTTGGTGAACCATGACTACCCTCTGGTTATTCCCCACCTGCCAGGTGAGGGTTGTTAGATTTTATCAGAGCACATGCCCGCCTCCTCCTCCGCCTTCTCCTCCTCCTCCTCCTCCTCGACTAGCTGTCCGCCCTCCTCCTCGCCTCCGCCTCTTCCACCTCCACTTCCGCCTTGCTCCACCTCCACTTCCGCCTTGCCAACCTTGCCAACTCGTCGCCAAGCGCTTCGCCAACTTCCCAGCTCAGTGCGCACTGCTGGACGTCAACCTGCGAGCTGCCCAGCTCAGTGTGCACCGCTGGACCTCAACCTGCAAGCTGCCCAGCTCAGTGTGCACCGCTGGACCCCAACCTGCGAGCTGCCCAGCTCAGTGTGCACCGCTGGACCCCAACCTGCGAGCTGCCCAGCTCAGTGTGCACCGCTGGACCTCAACGGCCAGATAGAATGCCAGAAGATATGCCAGATGGAATGTCAGATAGAATGCCAGATAAAATGCCAGATAAAATGCCATGAGATATGCCAGATAAAATGCCAGAAGATATGCCAGATAGAATGCCACAAGATATGCCAGAAGGTATGCCAGATAAAGTGCCAGAATGTTTGCCAGATAGAATGCCAGAAGATTTGCCAGATAGAATGCCAGATAGAATGTCAGAAGATATGCCAGAAGATATGCCAGATAGAGTGCCAGAAGATATGCCAGAACATATTGCAGAAGATATGGCAGATAGAATGCCAGAAGATATGCCAGAAGATATGCCAGATAAAATGCCAGAAGATATGTCAGATAGAATGCCAGAAGATTTGCCAGTAACAAAACGGATAAATGTCATGGTGGGGATAACTCGAAGTAAAGTAATTGTTGTTATGAATATATATATATATACACCAATGGTATAATTGAATCTATAAATGGTTACCCTCTGGTTATGACTAACAGTTCGCCATGGAAAGATCCACCATGCTATTAAGAACGGTAAACCATCTATTTCTATGGGCCATCTATACCATGGCGAACTGTTAAATAACCAGAGGGTAAGCCTTTTATAAATGGGATCACCCTTGTAATCAACTATAGTTACTAGCCATAGTTGATATTAACATGTATGATATATCTATGATATTCTATGATATTTAATAAGAAATGTCCATGTAAGGTTATAACCACATGTTATAGGTTATAAGCCATTTATCCAATAGCTATCTATGGTTAAGTCAATTCGGTTTATAGCCCATGCATATCCATTTATAAGCAACAAGTTGGATTATCAATATTTAGGATTTATCTATGATAGAACCTATGGGTGAACATGAACCAAAGTGTGTCATACATAAAGCAACCCAAAAAAAGATGCCGAAAAGTTATGGAAACCAGGATATTATGGAGAAGACCGCACTTATAACATCCTGGAAACACTTTTCTATCTTTTTGGGGGGGTTGCTATAGTGGGAGTTTCATCATGTCTCATCAAAACAAACCAGGGTGAAATAAGTAACTGGTTGGTGGTTTCAACCCCTCTGAAAAATATGAAAGTCAGTTGGGACATGTTGGGACTATTATTCCCAATATACTGTATGGAAAGTCATAAATTTCATGTTCCAAACCACCAACCAGCAATTTAATCAAGACAAGTACGAGTTTGATGAAGATGAATGGAAGTTGCAGCCGAAAGAAATGTGAGGTTGGTCATTTTTCAAATCAGAGCTAAAGCCCAAGCAAGATGGACGTTGAAGCCAAAGATATTGGAGTCTTGACATATTTTGATTTTGACGGAAAATGGGAGCAACGAAAACTGGAATCAGCACTTCTTTTCGGATTTGGCGCTAGAAAGATCCAATTCGATTTTCACCATTTTCACCAGCAACGAGATCATGTCTTTTCAGCACCCTGCTTGATGGCGACTCTCACCATCTCACCTTGACTGCCTTGGGGTGCCCAAGTTTAGGATGGCTATATATTGCAACAAACAACAAACCATCGTTGGTCCCGCAGTGGATATTCAACCCATATGCCTCAAAAAGCATCATTTACTAATCATGGATGGCCCAAAAAAATGGATGGCCCATTGAAAAATCGCAAGTTGTCCAGGTCCATGGATCTTTGGCACCCTGTTTTTGAGTCATACCCACATCCACACCATGTCCTGTAGGAACAGCCAGCGGTGTCTGATGCTTCCAGTGGCATCCAAAGCTTCTTGTCGTTCAAGGATCGCTGGCATATGCCTGGGTGTCTCAATTTGCAGCCCGCAATGGCATAATGGGGCACCATTTGGAGGAGGTGTCCATCCAGCCATGGGGATCCCAAGGCTGGATGGTGTATGATAAACCCAAAACAGAAATGGATGATCTGGGGATACCCAAATCATAGCTGTCCGGACACCTCCATTTGCTGCGGGGGTGTTAGTGGGTTTTTCACGGTATAACCATGGTAATAGCTGCCATAAGTTGGGATGGTAATAGCTGCCATAACTATGTGGCTGAGCCGGCAGTGGAATGGTTTTTTATGGTGGGTAAAACTGCAGCAAAAAAGGGAGAACATTCTGGGTAAATGATGCGAATCCCTACCTTTGGTGGTGTCCTCCAGTTACAAATAGGTTATAATATCTGGGTAAATTATAATATTTCACTCACCTGAATAGTTCGGCCATTTGGGGATGATTCCCCACAATCTAACCATGATTCCCAGTGAGGGAGAACAGTGAGGTCGTGATGAAATTTACCCAGAACATTGTATCAAACCTTCTGTTTAAACTATAGTTTTGCAGAGGACAAAAACCTGAGCCATGGCTATCCTACTTCAACGGGGATACCCACAAAAACATGTTTGGGTCTTGTTGGTCAGGCTTGGCACACTATTGTTCTGGATAAATTATATCAATTTACTAACCCGAAAAGTTTGGCTATTTTGGGACAATTATGGCGTTCCAATTCCCATCATTCCAATGACGTCGCAGCTTATCCAGTTTGATATCCTTTATCTATATCCCAGTTATCCCTATGATATCACTATGATACCAGCATGAAAATGTTGGTTCAGTCACTATTTTCCATGTTCAAATCACCATCCAAAAACACTGCAGTGTTAAATACTATCTGCCATTTCATTTATACTGCTTTATCAGTAGGTATTCCCAGTTCATGGATTATGATCATGTGTCATATGACCATTTCTGTGGGTTTACCAAGGTTGCACCACAGTTGTGTACGTACCCATTTTCGCTGAAGAAATCATGTGAAATCCCATTTTTGGATGGTTCAATCACCATGTGTGTCCCTTCAATCACCATTGTTTGCAGGTTATAATTATAACCCAACTTGTTTTTTTTGCAATTAGGTTGTACAACACTTTTTTTTGAGTGTATTTTGGATGGTTCCATTGTTCTATGTACCTAGACCCTCCAAGTACCTCAAAAATAATGGTACTATAGTACTAAGATTCTGGGGTAAAACGCCTACCCTCCAATAAATTCACATAGACCCTGGCAAATCGGAGGTTGGAAGATTCAAACAGTGGTGATTTTCAGGGTCAAACTGTGAATTTGGAGGCTAAATCCTCATAAAATCCCTCATGAAATGTCATGAAACCTCCATTTTGCCTAGTTAAATCAGCATTTTCCCAGAAGTTCCCCCCTTTTCCAGCCCATATTTTCATATATTTTCTGCATCGAAAATTCGCCTTGCTGCAGGAGTGTGGCCAGCGCGAAGAGTTTCTCAGAGATCAGTGTTACAAAGGCGTCAGCCTCTAGGACCTCCAGCTGTTTATGAACTTTTTGGAGGGATTTGATGGGAATTTGCTATTGAAAATGGCCATAGAAATGGTTGATTTACCTAGTAAAAATGGTGATTTTCCTAGTAAAAATTGTGATTTACCTAATTCAAGATAGCATCTGGTTGGTGGTTGACCTACTCCTCTGAAAATTCATGGAGTGAAAGTCAGTTGGGATGATGACATTCCCAATATAATAATGGGAAAGTCATAAAAACAATGTTCCAAACCACCAACCAGGCTAAGTTGAGATAGTTCAGTGTCTGAATTCTATGGTTTATGGATGTTTATTGTAGATATATACAGATATATAACGAACTAGTTCATGGGGTTTATAAACCAACTTATAACAAACATGGCCAATCAGCCAGATACCCTTCAAAAAACAACAAATTCTTAGCTGGTTAGGAAGTAGATAATCCCATTGATACCAAAAGACTAGTTAGGATTAGTTTCTAGCCATCCAGTCAATTGACCTAGTGAATGATGGGTTAAAATCACATTTCAATGAAATTCCATGGTGATGATCATCATCAAATCTTCATTTTTGGATTTGGGATTTGAATGGGGATTAAATAGTGTTTTAATGAAGATTTAATGATTTTAACGAAGATTAATTGATGATTTAACGCTGAGTTTTCTTCGTGGTGTATGATATACTGGTGATTTAAGTGTGATTTCCTGGTGTTTTGATGAGAGTTGCTGCAGGATTCCTTGGGTTTTCATGGTGTGTTGACGAAGTTTAGTAGGAAAATATATTACGATTTTTTTTGAACGGAAAAATGGCGGGTTCTCATACAAAGGTCATCGACATAAATGGAGATTACCAGAAAAAGGTCATCTAACCAGAGGGTAAGTTCGTGGCGATGTTTCACCAATCAATATAATAAATCTGGATGGATTTTACATTGCCCAACTTGTTTACCCCTTGGGATGCGGCCAATAAATTTGGATTTAGCCGATACTGGGGTCTTGATATGATTTACCCTCTGGTCAACGTTTACAGTTTGCTATTGAAAATGGTGATTCAGAGTGGATTTACCCATTAAACATGGTGATTTTCTATCGTTTTTTGTTAACGTTTACCAGGCCGGGTACATCCCATGTGGATTTTACGAATTGATGTGGGCAAATCATCGCAACTTCACCGGCCAAGCTCTTCGTAGAAAATATCGGCTGTTCATCCGATAGTGCTTTTGCGACTACGTCCAGTCGAAGAATTCTTGGTGGTTTCCATAGTCATGGGGGTACTCCAAAATGGATGGTTTATAAATGGGAAATCCATGGAAATCCCAACCAATTTAAAAACCACTTCTAAATAGGATTTCCCATTTATAAACCACTAAAAAACAATTTAAAAAAAAAAAAAAACTAAATAGGATTTCCATGGATGTCCCATTTATAAACCATAGTCATGGAGGTACCCATGGGTCATTTGGGGGGTATTATCATGGCTTGGGACAGCTCCATGGCTGGTGCCGAAGGGGCCATCCCAGACGTTTGATGCGAATCCCTACGTTTGGTGGTGTCCCCCAGTTATAAATAGGTTATAAATATGTTATAATCCCTTCCCCTATTATATAATTACTAAACCCCCCCCAAACAATAAAAACTACCTGAAGGTTACCTGAGGTGTTTTTTGGTGGGGAGTAGTTTTTTGGGGGGAAGAGATTAATCCCCATTATATAACCATGGTTGTTGATGGTTATTGGACTTATGTTCACCAACTTAGCATTCACGAACTGGTGACCTGGTGCAGCATCCTGTCTGTCGAGCCGCCAAAGACCAGCGATCTCTGCCTGGCTTCATAAGGGGCTTCCATAAATGGAGCTACCCCCAAGCGAGCTTAGGATGGTTGATTTCCATGGGAAAATCCCAATCTAAAATGGATGATGATGGAATTTAGGGGTACTCCTATGACTTATTCGAAACCTCCATGTGGTTGTGGGTCAGAACGCTGGCACCCTGGGTAGCCTATGTACCCTAAGTCATAGCTGGTATAGCTGGATGTTTCTTCCCCCAGTCAAATGAGGTCTTCTCAAAATTCCATTTGGACGAAAATCACCTTCCCTACTTATTTACAGGACTCCGCCTTTAAAGTTCAATTGTCGGCCACCTTGAGCATATAAAAAATACTTCAGTTGGGGTGGCATTTCTACCCCAAAAAAGAATCTGCAGGTTGGATGATCGCATGCTTCCATTCGCGAGAACGAACATATCGCATGCTTCCAGGAGCCATTCAAATCAGGCTCGCCATACAGAAACATTTACACACATGATCTAGTTCTACATCCTTGAAGCCACGAAGCGGATGTATTCGGATACTTTTGGTATCTGACCAGCCATCAGGCCATCTTGGGCTTCCTCCATTTCTAGGGCTTCTTCACCAGCCAGCAGCCAGCTGGAAAGCTGGACTGGTCGGTCCCCATGGTCCCCATGGCTCCGAGCTGCCTGTCTTCAACTCAGCGGTCCAGTATTGGTAGAAAAACTCTTGCCCTTTGATCCTCACCTGGCCATGAAGTGACCCTTAAAGCCACCTGAAAAAAAAAAGGTCCTTCTTTAAGGCTAGTGGTACCAGTGGGGCTCCAGTGGTATCAACCCACAAACGGCTGATCATGTACGTGCAGTATTGAACCTTTCAACTTGTTGGGGTAAAATATTGACTTAGAAGCACCAGCTGGCTGCTTCTTAAAACCAGAATAGAAACTATGTTTGCGATGAATGGGGGGACCACTCCTATTCTTTCATTGAAGTTGGCTTCAGGACCTATACCTACCTTTAGGTCACAACCCATCCCCACTATTTTGGATCAAACCAGAATGTTTGTTGGTAGGGTCACCAAATTTGTGGTGATTCGATTCTGATGTTCGCTGCTTCAACGCAAGGAACGAGAAAGCCCCATCCAAAAACACCCCGTTTCCGCAGCGAAACATGTGGGGACATCCCGCAGCAGTCCTGCTCCATGACCCAGGGAAAATGTTCGCGTTCATCTTTGTGCACGCGGATATAGTCCTTGTCCCGATAGAAAGGCCCTTGTTTCCTGGGCCCAGAACGTGCAGAATTAACTGGCAAGAGGGGGACTTAGACTGAATATGTGATAGGCAATTTGCTTTATAACTACATCATTAGGGTTTAGGTTGGAGATATGTGTATGTAGTTGGAACTAGTTAGATGGGGTATAAACCCACTACTGTTTGGGGTGGCACTTCCTGTATGATTGGGGTTGCAATTGGGATTTGAAGTAGCAAATGATGATTCGTATCGGGGGATCATTCCAGAGACCCAGGAATTTGTACAATTGGCGCCATTGGAAATGAGTTGTTACACCCTCAAATTGCTCAACATTTCGGCGTTGGGCTCAATTTTGTTCGGCGTTGGTGAATAGTGTGATACTTCAGCCATAAAAAAACAGGTTGACATAAAAATTGACAAAATTTGTTACTTGATGTTGTTCACATAAAAACAAAATCTTGTGATACTTCAGCCATTGTTACTTCTTGCATAATTTGAGGTTTGACATAAAATAAAATCGGGCTGTAGCTTGGCCCATCAGTTGATTTATGTTCACCCATCAACAAAGATCTGGTTGGTTATACTAATAATAGTGGTTTATAATACCAATAATAGTGATTATATATGGTTACATGATGGGATTATATATATAGAACATAACTGGTTGGTGGTTGACCTACCCCTCTGAAAAATAATGGAGTGAAAGTCAGTTGGGAGGATTTTCCATTCCCAATATGATGGAAAGTCATAAAAATCCATGGTTCCAAACCACCAACCAGAAGATATATATCCAGCTCAGTCAATAGTTAGTTTTAAAATTGATTGTAGATAACCATGGAGCCATGACTTTGCACAGTGCAAGCTTGAGCGCTCTGAATGACTTCCTCAAATCCAACAAAACTAAATTCAAGAGCCAAAACAGCCCCAAAAACATAACACACGATTTCAACATTCAACAAGTGGGAATAAATCTTACTTCGGACCTAATCCAACCGTTACCTACCGTGCAGGGTGGGGCCCCCACTTATAAGTTGGTTTATAAGCCCATCTATAGTAGGTATTCCAGTTACAAGTTGGTCAAAGCCCCATCCAACTATAGTTATATCGTGTTATATCCCCCATAAACCCAAACGTTACCCTCCAGTAAATTAACGTAGACCCTGGCAGACAGGGGTTAAAAGACTAGTTTCCACTAAAAAATTGTAAAAAATGGTGTTTTCAGGGTCTAGGTTAATTTACCAAACGTTAAACAAGCAACTCGGCTATCATAAATCAGCTATCAATCCCACGAAATCATCAGTGTTTTCGGGGAAAATGGCCATTTCCCCAGCTGATGTTTACCCAGTGTCCACTGCATTAAGCGCAGAAAGCTGTGCGCTGAACGCGGGAAGCCGTCAGGTCTGTCTTCAGGAACCCATAGGACGTCCATCGGCTTCAAGCGTCCTGCAGGTCAAATCACAATGTCTACAATGTGGGGCCCCCGTTCGATAGCTAAGTTGGTTTAGATTCACCCCATGAATACTATAGTTATTTGCGTACCATCAACCATAGTGAAATTGGAGTTATGTTCACCAACTGAACGCTATCGAACGGGGGCCCCACATTGTACATGGAAATCTGGCTAGTTTCTTGATTCCCCCATCCAGATTTAGCCTCTGGTAATTTCTTACATAGCTATTGAACATCACCATTTTCTAAAAAAAAACTGGGTAGTCATCAACTATTTCGACTGGGCCATGTTCCAGTTCGCAAACTGTTAACGTTTACCAGGGGCTAATTTATTTCAGCGGCTGCATTCGTGGTGTTTAAAGATCCAGGCATTGATTTGGAGGCTTATCCCATGGAATCCCGTAAATGAACCAACTAAGGTTAGTAGCCACTTATCTTGTGTGGCAGATCCTCAAAAACCATTTAAAAAAAAAAATATTTCGTCCATATAGCTGATGATATTTCAAATTTTCCATATATAGCTGATGACATTTCCATAGCTGGCATATACTAGATCTAGTTTCCCACTTTTAAGCGTTTACCTAGCGCCCCCACCCCCGCCACATATCTATATATAGTTACCAATTATATCTTACCTATAAAGTTACTATGAGTTTTTTTTGAAGCAACATTCACATCACCCCCAACCATCCACCCTTAACCCCGTGGCTCGCCCGCCGCGCCTAGCATCACCCGTCCATGCTGCGTCGCGAAGGCCGCCAGCAGCGCCTCCAGCGGCAGCGGCGTCAGCGTCACGAGCTGCTCCACGGCGTCCTCGATCTGCAGCTCGATGGAGGCGGCGTCCAGCAGAAAACGACGTAACGCAACGGTGACCTTCCAAGGGATCCCAAGGGGATGAAGCTGGAGATTTGATGCTTGAATTTGAGACTTGATGTGATGGGAATATGTCTAGACTGAAATTGTTTGTTTATAAAAAACTCATGGTGATATCATGGAAATATCATGGGAAATTTCATTGGATAATGGTGATGTCATAGGAATCTAATGGGGATTTAGTGGGACATTAATGGGTTACCCTCTGGTTATGACTAACAGTTCTCCATGGTATAGATGGCCCATTGATAGATGGTTTACCTAGTAATAACATGGTGATTTTCCATGGCGAACTGTTAAATAAGCAGTTGGTAGCAGTTATAATCAATAACTGGTTAGGTGGTGCAATAACCATCTTGAAAAATATGAGCTCGTCAATGGGAAGGATGACATCCCATATATTATGGAAAATTAAAAATGTTTGAAACCACCAACCAGATAATATCTGGGTAAATTATAAATTTCACTAACCTGAATCTTGCGGTCATTTGGGGATGATTTTCCTAAAATAAACATTGATTCCCAGTGAGGGAGAACAGTGAGGTCGTTATAATTTACCCTTTTCCTCGCGATGAGGGGTCCGACACCCTACTGGAAGTGAAGTGTCGGCCTTTGCCGGCCACCAGAAGTGGAATGGCTAAAAATGTACCACGAAAAAACGCCTAGCCTAAGGACTCTAGGTGAAGTTCAAGAACAGCAAGTCACCTGCATGTGGGAGCTCCTCCGTTGTTCATCCAAAATTCAACTGTTGTTGCGGCTGGTTACGCCATAGCTGGACTCTTTTGACTGCCTTGCTAGCAGCAGTGTATTTGGATTGCCAAGTTGATGGAAGTTCACGCTGAAGTTTGCCAAAGACAGTGTCCGAGACCTTAATCGGTATATCAGGTAGGACTACAAAAGCGGGCCCTTTGTGTACCTTAAGGTATTCAAACAATATAGCTATGACCTGTTCCTGATGCGGTAGTTGAATCCTTTGTCTGTAGCCACTAGTGAAAATTGAAGCACCTTGCACGTATAGGCTGCGAATAAGCCCGCGTTCGCAGTCAGGCATGGGGCATGGGGCTTGCAATTCACTCACTTGTCTGCATGCGATGGAAAACAGATTCGCCAACTCTGAAAATTTCACATCGAAAGCGGCAAGTGAGGCAGAATCTCGAAAGGGGATGAGGCGATCTTTCCCATTAGCACCTACACGCTTGACTGGCAAAAACATCTGTGAATGCAACATAAATGACAAGACCATTTCATACCAAGAGGTTCCTAAAGCCTGGTCGGGATGTTGGTCCAATTGCAATGGCCACTTAAGGTCTGCCATCCATTGGTTGATGGCTGTAGCAACAGTGAGGCCCCATGCGCATGCACCAAGCTCATGCATCTGCTGTGGAGAGGCTGTCCATGTTGGCTGCACCCTATACTGCATTAGACGATCCCGTACATTATGTCGCTGGCTGCCAGTGATTTCGGTTTGTGACATGGATGGTGGCTGCACACGTTTAATTTCGGCTTTACGGTTGCGCACCGCAACATGAAATTTGTAAAGTGCAAACAAATGCTCTTTTTGTTCAGCAAGTTGGGTGTGCATTTCAGTATAGTCTTGCACTAAACGGGGAACAAGATTCCAACAAGCGGTGATGGCGGCATCATTCGCTTTTTTATTCCCTATTCTGTGGTAAAGATCCACCCATGTAGGTGCAATTTCGAGTTCAGCATGGGCTTTTACTTTATGAAAGACTCTATTCCCCAAGTGAATGACCCGCCATAGTCTTATAATGAGGTCAAGATCTTCCATGTCATGTAGCTGCGCCAAATTAGTGGCTGACAAACATCTGGAAACTGCAGTTAAAGTGACTTGGGAATCCGTGTGGATGGCAGTGTTAGCAAAACGCTCGCAGATATATAGCACAGCAAAAAGTTCCGCCCTGTGAATCCTTTGCTCTCCAAAGGGCCGGCAAGCATTCAAGAGCATCAGTGTGGGAGGCATGGCACCAGTTTGGCTGTACGTCTTCGCCATAAGCTCGCGTTCTACATTATCACTGGCCAAGTCAACTACCATTGCTGAAGCACTGAATCTAGTATTGGGTGATTGTGGATGCTGACATGACCCATCGGTGTAGCATCTGATTGTGTTGCCACTCATGTCCAGTGTGTGCAGCGCATGGTATATATTGTCTGCAATGTCGGGTTCAGGTTGCTGCCAATGTGTGAGGTTGACCCACTCTTGCTGTTCATGCTGATGTATGACTGGGAGTTCGTACCATTCCTTTCCTTCTGTCTCCATCCAATTGAATGTCAACTCGTGCTGAGCTCGAAGGTCTTGTACCTCCGGACAAACCATGACCCTATGATACTTCGTGTCTGGGACCTGACAGTTTACGCAAAGGTCTGAGGTGGATGGGTCCCAAGCTGCCTGCTGGACGCCTGTTTGAAATCCACCTGCAATCTGATTGATCAAGAATTTTTGGTCTTTTGGAGGGAACTTGGTCAATATTGCGGAAGTGTCAGTTTTATTAATAGGAGGCATCCCTCTAAGAGCTTTCCTATCCGTATACAAGGTCAACAAGGTTTGTTCCCATTCCACTTGGATGAGACGTTTCCAAGTTTTCCTACTGGTTGTGAGGAGGTTGTGCCATTGAAATGCGGAGGTCTGGATCCACCCCTTTGCATCCATGTGCCATCCTATCTTAGTCAAATAGTATGCCAAACAACTGGCAGGTCCACTGCAATGATGCGACGCTCCATCATGTGTAGCAACAATCCGCAGGAAACTTTGAACAGTCCCAGGCGTGGCTTTGTGCAGGAATCTGTGTGCTTGGCAAATGGCATTTTGTATCAAAACCACCATGGGGTCCATCATTTTCGGCAAAACTTGTATAGCAATGGCAGAATTTCTGCTAACACTTGGTCCTAAAATCGCATTGGCAATGCTAGTTCTCAAAGTGTTGGCATGTTGACTGCCAATTGGGAGCAAGGCTGACGCATAAAAAACTTGAGGGAAAATGCCTACCAAAACCATGTGGGTCTTCGCATGGATGTCCTGTGGCATCTTTTGCAACCGCCGGAGTCTTCGCTCTGCTTCTTCAAATCTTTGTTTGGTTTTCCCAAGTTTCGGTGGACCCCGATATGTCATCTGCCCCCCTAGGTCATTGGCCGACAGAAGGTGTTTCAAGGTGGTGTTGCCTAGATGCTGTTTAATGGCACTTTTTATGGTGGGCAAATGGCTTTTATTGCTCATCCAAATCCAACTCTTCGCCCAATCGACATGCATGGTGAAGGCAGCAGTATATTTCTGGGTTACTTTCAAAACATCACTATGGGTACGTGGATTAGTGGAGAGCCAACCCCAGTTATCCGCGTACGCGGTAAGATGTGTCGCTGTCTGGGCTTGGACAGCTGTGATCCATCCTGTGGAAATAGCGATCATTATGAGTACACTGAGGGGGTCTCCCTCAGGGCAACCTCGGGAAATAGTTTTTGGGACACTGACTTGATTTTTCAGGATCCAAGACCGGGTGAGGGCCTGGAGGGAATTTTTCCACTGTTTTACTAAAGCAAGGGGAAGGCCTAAGAACAGCAGGGCTTGGGCTGCTGCTTCATAGTCTATGGTGTTGAAGCATTTCAGTAAATCGATGGAAAATCCTGAAATATGTGTTCCAAGGTTTTTGTAATTTTCCATGATCCATTGTTGTTCGTAACAAGCATCGTATGGTCCTTTTCCAGGCACGAAGCCGGTGATACCTGGTGGTAGGCGGTTGGCAATTTGGCGCATGGCATGCTTAGACTGGATTTTACTCCATAGTCGATAAGTCTGGGCTAATACACTTATAGGTCTAATCTGGGCAGGACTAACGTCACCAGGGTTTTTAGGGATTGGGAAAGTTCTGCACCACATTAACCAGGCTGGGAAGCCCTGTTGACTAGAATGCATTATCCACATTAGATCGTTAATGGCAGCAGGAGGCAAAAGCTGTAACTCACGCGCTGAAATTTTATCAACCCCACGGGCGCTTCTGGCTTTCAAAGAATGGATGGCTTGAATCCACAGCTCGAGATCCGGTGGGCATGGGGTAATGTCACAATGTGGCATATGTGACAACAGTGTCTGGAGCTCTTCCGGGTAAGCAATGGGTTCTTGAGTCCAAAATGGTGACCAGAAGTCATTTAGTGCTTGGAAGATTTTATCAGGTTGGCAGATTTCTTGCCGCTGTGTGATTGTGACTTCGTCTGGCCAATCTTGATTCGCATGGGGTTTAACTTGGAGATAATAATTATCCACAGCTAAGATGGTAGCTGGGATGTTGTTTATCTCCAGTTTGTATGCGGCATTGAATCTTTGGCAATTGTCAGCATAGAGGATGAGGCAATCCTCTTGTGGAACAGGCATTGCTTGTGCGGTTTCATTGTGAACTATCACTTCCACTTCGTCTCTGGAAACATCTTTCAAGCGCTGGAAAGCATGGTGGTATCCACCGGAGGTTTCATCCACATGTCTCTTATAGCTAAGTTTTTTCAACCATATGGCATGGTCTTTTTGCAAGGCTATTTTTGTCTCATGTCTAGCGATCTGAATGATAGTATGGACCAGGTCTATAGATGGCAAATTCCAGGGGAGAGGGCCTATTTCAGGGTGGCTAAGGGCCCATTTTGGGAAGTTACCTTTAAACCCTGTACTTCTCAAAGCTGATCGCCATTCTTGGATTAAGGATGGTGGCTCTGGGTGGCCAGCTTGGATTCTCTTGAGTCCCCGAAGGACGGAATCAAGTCTGCGAACTTGCTTGACTTTTTTGTGCGTGGCAAAGGAATGAATTTCAATTTCAGGATTGAACTCCCCACTTCGTGGTGTGCCTACTGGTGGGCTGCCTGAAGCAACCTTTGGCTTGTCTGGCTGACATCTTCCTCTGTAAGCCCGATGGAGTCCTCGGGTGGCTTCTAGCGGAATACCTTCAACCTGGGCTTGGGTTGTACGCAAGGCTTTATCTACTGCACTCTCGATAGTCAAACCC